AATGCGTGCTATTGTCTTCCCATTCTTGCCGCACAACTGTGGTGGACTTGTATTTTTGTATATTTGGTTAGATTCAACTTCATTTGTTTTACAGTATTGCAGATAAATAATTTGTGAAGAAACGCACATTTAAAAAAATTAAATACGATGGAAAATAATGCAAACATTTATGCTGCGATTGTCTTCAGCTGAGAACACCCTGTCTACCTTGGGTGGCGGCATACAGTATGCTCTGTGGGGTCCCGAAAGTGTTACTAACGCAAGTCTTAGAGAATAATGAAATTAGTGAATTGAGTAAGCATACTGGCAGTAAAAACTTTATTTTAGCATACAGTAATTTCACTACTATTAATATTTTGTTTTTTCCCATAACTTAGAGTTTTAGCTCATAAATCAAAGCATGGGACAAAGGTTTATTTCATAATTGCGAATTTTAATGAATCAAATCCTTCACAACGGAATGCTACTTTTAATATTTTATACGACTAACGCCAGACAACCTTATTCACCACAGTGACCCCTCGTACCAAAGGGGTTAAGAAGTGTAATATAGCCTTGAAAGGATGAGATAGAAAGTAAGACCAGCTGTTAAAACAATTGAGATAAGATGGATGAACTAGGTAACTTAGGAATGGCATTCATTCCACTGTAGACAATGAAGTTTCCTCCAAGTCAGTAGGGCACTGGACAGTGTTGAAAGCTACTGACCGAAGAGTGACATTTTGACATAAAACTAAACAGTTTAAAAATTTACCAGTCTGTCACCCTTTCACTGCTTCCTACAATCTTTTACACTATTCTCTAGGAGTTCATCAACAGTTTTAATTACTATACAGGCCCATCCCAGTTTAATTAATTCACTCCCTTCTTTGCCTCATTTCTCTTACCACACCTAGTCTCTCTAAATTTTCCTCAAAACCTTCACTCCCTTCTATTCTTTATCAGGAAATCACTCAACCTTGCACTTAACAACCCATGGTATACCTTCAGTATGATAGTTACTTCTTTTACCTAATCACCAATAATAATATCACCTTTCAAATTGGTAAAAACTGGCTAGTTCATATGGAGCTGTTTGTGGCACCTTGAATAATGCAGATAAAATGACAGATACAGCAAAACAACTGAAGCTGAATCACACTTCCAGGATTTTCAATGGACTGTACATACAGTATCTAACAACAAACTTTGCAAGGATTAGGGATATGAAATGGCAGGGCACTAGAGGGAGTGAAATAATTTTATGGTACCTGGTGTCCACAGTCAAGTGAAAAACACTTTCTTCTTTACAGCTATAACAGACTGGAACAAATTAATAGACCACAACAAAACTAGCCATGGTATTAAACAATTCAAAGCCCCCCAAAAATAAATAAAATACATAACAGATGAAGCTGCAACAAGAAAAAAAGTGAGTTTCTATATCAGTAACCATAGACTGTTGTACTATTGAAGTGAACCGCCAGCCTCAGGCAATGTAATGCATGTTGAATTTTATAAAAAAAAACTTTTACTATTACTCCTGCAGACATACTCTTACTGATTAGAAACCGAGCATAAGCATATGCAAAGAGCCCTCCTGGAACAAGCACCTGAAATTGCCTTACTGTTAACTTTACTGTTTACCATTGTTGTTTACCTGAACTATCTAGGCACACAGGAAACTGTTTACAATACAGTACTCCCATGGCATACGTGCACTGTTTACCCACATCGTCTATATTTACACGGAACTGTGTAGAACTGCATAGTTTATAAACATGCCTATCAAACTGTAAACCTGTATGACAACTTTATTGATTATTATTATTATTATTATTCATACTGCCATTTTATACAAAGAAGCCAGCAATTAAAATTGTTTGACCAAAAACAAATACAACAGTTATTTACAGGTACTGAACCATGCTCTTTATAAAAAAAAAAAAACTAAAAACAAACTGAACATATAGGGAGGGCAAATTTTATATTATGAGCATGATTTGAATGGAGGGACAAGTGAAACAGTTCATAAAGCAATGACTGAAAGGTAAGAAGTCCCCCCAAATAAAATTATAATCTCACTTTATTGCACGTGATACATGGCAATATGACCTGCCTCAGTCATACCAAAATTTGGTCAAATTACGTATTTTCAAGTCCCAAAGTCAGTACACAGACAAAATTTTCATTTGTAATGCACTTTAAAATGGCTGGCAAGATTAAAAGTGAGTGTTTTGTGGTGCTGAGAAGAAAAAGAGACACCCATTTTAGATTTTCTAAGTATTATTTAAAAATTTTCGACTTACGACCTAGATGTTGGTCCCTAACCCTGTCGTAAGTCGGGGAGGAGCTGTATATATATATACCGTATATCACGGCCTATAAGGCGGCGGGGTGCATAAGACGCCCCCCCCAAATTTCCATTTAAAAAGTAGCTTTTGAGCTCTATTTGCTGTATAAGACCAGTACCCCAAATGTGACACTTACCCACTGACTCAGTAGTCCTTTACCAACCATCCTTGATTTTTTAAAATAAGGCCAATTCACTTCAAGTAATGTCATCAAATTATACCCGCTGGTGTAGTGTAAACACTAGTGACGTCACTGAAGCGTGGTGGGAGTGTTCCCTCGTCTCGGTGGTGTGACTATTTATACAACATGTGGTTCAACAGCAACCACCGTATTCTAATTGTGGTGTTTCATTAGGATTTGAGTGAAAAAGGTTACCAGTATGTACTTACTACATACATTTATTACACAAATATATATATATATATATATATATATATATATATATATATATATATATATATATATATATATATATATATATATATATATATATATATATATATATATATATATATATATATATATATATATATATATATATATATATATACTGAATATACTATGTACAAAAAATGAATGTTCAATGAATTATTTATGGTGCATTAGGGTACTGGCCACTTCTGATGGGCTATAAATAGCCTTCTTTATCTCCCCTCCATCTCACCCTGAGCCAGACGGAAGGGTCTTGGTAAATAACATGTTTGCTTATTTTCCATTTACTTTAAATAGATTTACCGAATTATTTGTTTTATTTATTTATTTATAATATACTGTAATATATTAAACACACTGTAATTATTTTCTTTAATTTATAAACTGTTTTGCGACAAAGGAATGTTCTCCAGTAGTGTTTCATTAGGATTTGAGTGAAAAAATATTACGTACTTACACAATTGTTCCTCTTACTTTGACAACACAACATACATACAGTATATTATTTCTCAGTTTTGATCTTTTTTTTTAATTTTTGTATTTATTTATAGTTAGTTACTTAAAATAAGGCCAATTCACTTCAAGTAATGGCATCAAATATTACCAGCTGGTGTAGTGTAAACACTAGTGACGTCACTTGAGCGTCTGTAATTAACCGTCGATAGTTTCAAGAATTAATGCACTCATTTACTGAATATTCTTTGTAAAAAAATAAAATTTAAATCAATTATTTATAGGAGATAAATATTATTATGAGTAAATATACCGATACCGGTATGCATTACTGACCACCTCCACGGCTAAAAATAGCCCAATCTCGTGGTCACTTTCCCTTTCTTGTCTCCTCACTGGCAAATGGGGGGGGGCGTGGGGAGGGGTGTGTGATGATAGCTGTGTTTATTACAGGGGTATAAATCTCTTTTACGGTATGTTAGACAGGTTTATAATACATTTTTATTATTTTAATATACCGGTAATCTTAATTTGAATCCAGCTTGCCAAACGTAAGTTTCAGTATAAAATAATTAGTGGTAAGACCTTGTGAGTGGCTTACGATGTTTTCATCACCACTCTTGACACACTAAACCACAATATTTAAGAGGTAAGAATTTTAAACTTGGTGGTTTAGACGACCCCCTAACTTTTGGCAGATTTTTTTAATGTTCAAATTTCGTCTTATAGGCCGTGATATATATATATATATATATATATATATATATACAGTGAGTTCTGCTATAACGCGTGTTTTGATAACGCGAATTTGCTCTAACGCGATTTATGAATTCGGAACAATATTTGTATAACGCGATCGCTTGTTTGCTATAACGCGATTTTTGCTTACTATTTCTCCAATTTTGTGGTATTAACTGTGAATATGGTAAAGAAGAATATCTCCAAAAAGCATTCTGATGATAGAATTCCTGGTGATTATCGTAAAAGAAAGGATATAACACTTGAAGAGAAGCTTGATGTTATCAACCTCAAAATCACCCTTCTCCCCCATCAAGTTACATTCATATTTTTTCAAGGTAAAGTGTTAAATTTACTGTATGATTTCATTATTAGATATGAATGTAACATTTATTTAGACTGTGCTATCCTTTGTGTTAGGCCAACTACTAAATTTTTTCGATTTCGAGTAATCTGCACCTAACCCTATTTTCTCCATAAGCCCTGTTATTTCTATTACGCGATTTTCTATAACACGATATTTTACAAGAACACAATTATCGCTTTATAGCAGAACTACCTGTATATATATATATATATATATATATATATATATATTTTTTTTTATATATATATATACCCTGTTATTTCTATTACGCGATTTTCTATAACACGATATTTTACAAGAACACAATTATCGCGTTATAGCAGAACTACCTGTATATATATATATATATATATATATATATATATATATATATATATATATATATATATATATATATATATATATATATATATATATATATATATATATATATATATATATATATATATTAATCTACTTTAAATATGGAGTGTGATGTCTTACACAACCTGTGTAAACACTGAAAACGGCCATAAAATAATGACAATGATGAAAGTCTTCTGGGTAAAAAAATTCACAACAACACTCAAATCTAATGCACTCCAATTACTATATCAACCCTACAGTTGAAACAAAGACTAAATACAATACAGTAAGGCAAAGCATGCACTGTAACCTAAGAATCTTGACCACATACCGTGAAGAAGCATAATAACCAAGAGCGCAGAGTCCATGGTAAAACATTATCCAGGGTGTCAATATCCTTGCCAAATCGATTAATCAAACGCCCAACTGGATTTGTATCAAAGAACTGCATTGGCAAACGCATGACACTGTGAAGCATATCAGCGTGAAGTATGGCTCCAGCATCAACAGCACCAAATGACAAGGAAAATGATCCACCCAGGATACAAATTGCTGCAGGACAAATATAACTGAGTCACATATAATAATTCCACACAAAGCCTCAAATTTACATGAAAAGCCTCAGCTTAACAGAGAAGACTAACATACCATTTATTGTTTAAGACAGTAACACCCAACAACAGAAAAACTTTGACACACAAAAGCATAAAAAAGTTGACTATTAATTAAAATCAGTAAAAAGGATATTTTTATATGATTTTTTGGAAGTAACATGAATAATTCAGTACGATTTACACTTGCTATATATTACACCCTTTAAGAAAAGTTTTGATCAGACTCTTATATCCCAGACCAATATTCCCCCAATGTTCTTAGCCTCTTTTATACCAAAGGTAAGGTTTAAGAAAGTTTAGTTTCAACAGAAACATACTGATAGTTACACAGCAAAAATCAGTAAAACAAAATATATTCTTTTGATAATTATAATTAAGAGAAGAATCAATTATAATTGATCAGCACTTCAGAATGACTCTCAGACATAAGAAAATAGCTTTAAACTTGAGAATAACTCAGAATCTTAATAAAGTTCTTGTAATGTTCTAATAATTAATAAGACTATTAATTCTAAGAGAGAGAATTACAATGTTTCATGAAAATATCTAATACTGTACTCCAGTATAATAATTATGGCAGATTAAGATGTAGAAAACTCTGTATACCTAATGCTAATGATGTATGGTACTTAACATTCTCTGTGTATAAAGAAAAAATAAACACAAGACCACTCACATACTGTACTGTATTTCAAAATGAAATAAATTCATATAAAATACACACTACAGTAATATACTGTACGTACTGTATAGTACGAGTAATTGTAATCATAATTACAATTTAACGCTTACCAAAAGACACAGATCCCTCAGGAGCCAATGTTAAACTCACCCACCAGTTACCACTCATTGCACACTGAGTTGACTAATGATTTTATTTTCTTATTAACCCCCTTTACTACAAAACATCACTTTTAATATTTTAGTCGGCTAACACCAGATGATTTTCTTCAGAACAGAGAGACACCTCGTACCCAAAGGGTTAATCAACACACAGTTCACTCTTCTTTTCTGGGCAGGAGCCAGAACACTAGGTAAAGGCATGATGAACAAGATTAAAACAAATAAAACAAAGGTGGAAATGTGATAGTGAAAGAAGTGGTAGGCAGAGTGCAGATAAGAGATCTGTTAAGGTGGTGTGGGCATGTTGAAATAATGAGGAGTAAAATAATGGTGTTGTACTGAAGTTGGCAGTAGGAGAGACAGGGGAAAATGAAAGAGTTAGAATGATGGGGTTAAGAATGCTCTAAAAATGAAAAAGTTGTTTATCCAGGAAGCTGTAGTGAGCGGAGAGCAACATGTTGGTCTATGGAAAAAAAGTGGGGGTTATATAAAAGATTTTCTCAAAACAAACATATCAAAACAAGATCACTAAGATCTCTTTCTAATAGAAAAATAGGCAGCATTCCATTTGAGAGCTGACACTACTCTATTGGATTAGTCTGGATTCAAAATCAATGGGGATGTTCGTTATGATCTCAACAACTCATACATTTAAATTTAAGGAAGTCAGTTAAGGCACTGCAAGGACATCACTTAGACAAGCAACATCAGAAGGAAACACAAGAGGAAAAAAAAAAAGACAAGAAAGAAATCCCAATCAGAACTGCAAGTCTAATTATAACATGCAGAAGATAAAGTCAATTGCACATAAGCCAGATCAACATTTATACAGGAGGCCCCCCAAATTAACAGGGGTTTGGTTCTCAAAATGGCCACGAATCGCCAAATCCGTGAATAACATTTGCGGACGGGGGGTTGTTTACAGTTTTACTTATGTACAAAGAAATGTATATTCCCTTTGTGTTTGCCCGTAGGACAATTATTTCTTTTACCTGTAGTATTGCATATGTGTGTGTAGACACACACACAAAACACATACAAATAAATAATAATTGGTAAATCCTCTCACAAATAATCATACACAAATTTATTAAAAATCTGACAGTCTACCTTCAAGCCCGTGCTCTAATAGTGAAATACTGTAATAGAGCACGGACTTGAGGGTAGACTCACATTTGTAATAAAAAAATTTCTGACTATTTGTGAGAGTATTTTCCCATCATTATTTAATTGTATGTGTTTTGTGTGTGTGTGTGTGTATCTACACACACACACACATATATATACAATACAGGTAAAGGAAATTATTGTCTCTAGAACAAATGGCACCCTGTCCCAGCCGCAAAAATTACGGCAACTTTAAAACGACACACAGACATTCTTGGGTACATCCAGGGTGTCATCCCCAAATAACCGAGAACTGCAAAGTAAAAATCCGCGAACTTGGGGGGCCCCCTGTACACTTATTTTGCAAGTGTTCCAAACATTTTTGTTTTGTTTGCAACACTGAAATGCTATGAGATACACTGTGATCAAAGTGATTCTGTGAAAGCCAAGTTTCTTGTATTGTGCATTGATGTTTAGTATAGGTGGGAGAGAGAAAATATCATGAACTCACTAACCTTGTCCAATTCCTAAAGCTCCATACACTCCAAGGTACATATCTCTTGTTTTAGGATCATTGGTATCCTCTTCAGACCACTTTGAGAGCCAGACATTTGACCCCATTGTACTGGCTTGGGAAAGTGCATAAAACAAGAGGGTCAGCAGTGTGGACAAAATTCCAACAGCTTGGATGTAATACTTATATACACCAAAGTCCACCTGGAAAAAAAAAGTCAGACAAAAGAAAGAATTTTCAAGTTATTAGAGAAAGTATAATATAATTGTTGCAGATCGTTGCCACACTAACTGACCTCACTATCAAATAAAAAACTGATCATGAAATCCCAATGAATAATTGAGTTGCAATCAAGCAACCCAGGGTAGCTAACAAGTTTGCAGGTCAAATTTCCAGAATCTAGAGTCCTGACCTGAAACTAAAATCTAGAACTGTAATAAAAGAAGGCTTAGGGATTTTACAGTCAAACACAAAAAAAAGGCTCTGATCCTTCATTTCTAGGTTGAAATCTGCTATTTAAACATCCAGCCTGGAAGAATGCTCCAGATAGGTCACCTCAGCATCACCCCGCAAAAAATGGCTTTCAAGTCCAATCCGCCATTCATTATCTTACGTCTGCTCTGAACTGGTTATGACTAAACTCTGAAGGTTTTTTCCTAATTAATAGTTTTACAGCTGACATCAATAAACAAATGAAGGCAAAAGAGTAACTTCATTATATTCAACAGCAAAACTCTCAAGCCTTCTCCCTTTTTAGGATAAAGTACTGTTTTACTCTGTGGTTATCCTTCATGGTCCCAGTATGAAGGCACTGTATAGGATATTCTAATTTTCAAATACAATATATTAAATTTCCAAATTCCAGTCACATTTTAAACTATTTCTAGAGCTGGGTTGTATGGGTATAAAAATCATTATCCACATACAAGAGCTTCTATTCTATACCACCAATACCCAAAAGCAGCCATCCACACTGCAACTTCCACTTTCCCATCCAGTTTAATTTACTCTATCCCATCAAACAACAAACTGAACAAGTCTGGTGACATCACACAATGTGCCTATACAGGTACAGTACTGTAGCAGTTTCAAGTAAACTTTATCAATAAATTTTCCAAAACTTTTTTAAGAAAATAAATCATGGCATAACAAGGGGTTTTATTACAAATTAAATAAATTGTATCCAAAGAGAAGATTCCTAAAAGCCAATCATTCTAATAAAACAGTGTTACATGGAACAAGGGTCAAGATATGTATATTTTCTTATATTACTTCCATAGATCTTAAAATAAACAAGAATTCACAAAATCCCTATACTGCATAGTACATCCATAACCTGCAGTATACAGTACTGCAAAAAAATAATATTAAACATTATTTAAGATTATATAAGAACAGTACAGTGGTGCATAACAAAGGGTTGTTATTAATTTCCCATTGTAAATAACAATGTAAAATGTTTTACCTTGCCAGTCTCAGCCTTCTCTGCTTCAATAAGTTTATCTCCAACCTTTTTTTCTGATGTGCCATTAACAGTTAGCTTTCCTTTGTCTGATTCACTGGTTCTTTTGCTGCCACGACGTGGACCACCATCCTTGCTGGGTGTTGTGGAAAAACAGAATAATGAATTATAGGAAAAAACACACTAATTATACTCGTATGTAGGCATGCACTTGTTACCCTTATATTTATCAAAGCATGGTACTGTACAATACAGTATTCCTATTCTAGTCTTTGGGATACATTATAAGATCATGTTACATAAATTATCAATCAAGTCAGAGACGATACTAACCTCTCACTATCAATACTCCTCTCACTCTCACTTTCCTTCTTATACCGATGTAACTGCTTCTGTATAACATCATCCCCCAAAGTACTCTTTAGTTGTAGTTTGATGTCTTCCAGATCTAAGGACATATATTTATTACAAAACATCTTATAATTTATAAATAAAATATCAAACAAAAGTAGTTTCTCTCTTCTGAGCCACAATAAAATGTTGTTGCAAAGGAAGGGGGGGGTGATGGCTGCACTATGTAAGTGGTGAGATAAGGAAAATTCTGCCACTGGGTCTTTCTGTTAGTTAGGAAAGGGAAATGATTGGTTAAACACACCTAATATTTAAGTAAAGTTTTACGATAAAAACAAAGCTGCGGAAAGATGCAGGAACATTTACTTAGGAATTCAGTACTGTACTTTAAAATGAAAGAGCAGAATTAGAAGATGCCAAAGCTCAGAAAGCATCACAATTCAAATGTAGACTCACTGAGCAGAGAATAAACTGCTGTATAGTAATCTAATTTTGATCAAATCCTCGAGTCTAAACAAATTAATCTCTGCTTCCCATCAAAACCTATGACTTCTGAGACCAGATCTGCCTCTGAAGTAACCTCAAAATAAAGTGAATATATGGTGTTCTTAACATTCACCTACAATCAAGCTTGAAATTTATATACCATGAATGAATATATATTCTATGCAACACTTTAAAACTAAGCCTTAAGAATACACCTGAACTTAATTACCTTCCAAGTCATCGTCCTCATCTGACCCTGCAATTAAATAATGAAGTAAGAACTCCTGGAATTCTCCTTTTCTTTCAAGCAGCTCCTTGTAAGAACCCTCTTCAGTGATGATCCCATCCTTAAGAACAATTATCTTGTCCACTTGTGGTAAGTATGTTAGACCATGTGTCACTAGGAAACGAGTCTGTGAACACACATTTCAAATTTAACTTATTGTTGAAGCCATGAGAAAACAAGTTCATGGGTTTATAGTATTATTATAAAGATAAGATGAAGAAACATGTGAAATTATAGAATTGGTACAGTATTAAAAATAAATTGTGAGAAATAGAACAATAACAATGGTTCATCTGAAGAATTGCCCAAACTTATTTCACCTGAAGATTACACACCCCAAGTAGTGCTAGGGCGGTTATTCTTCACGTGAAATATGCTGTAGGGCAATCCTCAGGTAATCCTTAATATTTATACACTGTACCTAAAAATACCTCCTTCAGATATTTGCCTTTCATGAAGCTGGAGTCTGCTGTTGCAAACAGGAGTTAGGATTATTTTTTTCAAATCAAGACAGTATTTTCATAGTCATTATGCAAACTTTTATGGTCATTGTACAAAATTCTTTTACACAAAATAAAAAAAAGAGAACTACAGGGGCCTACACACTGGCAAGGATGAGATCAAAATAAGCCTCGAGACCAAAATATTATGTATTTTATCCACGTTACAAACCTCCACACGAGCGTTTACTCAATAAGCCTAAGAGACGAAAAAGCTCCATGCACTTGAACCCAGTTCTCCCTGTACTGTAGTAAAAACTCACCATTCAAAGTTTTTCTCAGTTAATCAAGTTCATTAGCTTTATGATTTATCTTGCAACTTTATAGTTGTTTGTGAGATTTCAAACTGGATTTTGAAACCAAATCTAAGAGAGATAATCAATTTAGTTCAAATGAGAAACAGAGAAGTCAATCTTACAAGTCCTATGCAGCCTTAATTTGTGCTAATCTGATTCATGTGGTCTGTTTGCCACATGACATGTATTCTGACCTAGATAGACTTCAGTCTTTACTCTATGGCAAGGAATTACACAGAGGCAAGCAACAGAATACAGGTACTGTACAGTATTCATGCTTTCTGTTGTTCAATCCCTATGTGATCTGTGTTGTGTAACTTGTTATATGATCATTCTAATTAGGTAAACATGACTTACAATAAAAACACCATATTTGTGATATTATTGAGATTGCACCAAATGGAAAACCATCTACTATACAAACCTTATTCTTCAGCAGGCCTGTACGTCCAATTACTTGTTCAAATATGTGCTTGCCCACATGTGAGTCTACAGCACTCAGAGGATCATCAAGAAGGTAAATGTCTGCATCAGCATAAACAGCACGAGCTAAACTGATACGCTGCTTCTGGCCGCCACTCAAGTTGATTCCCTGCAGTATAAGTTAATGAATGCAAACCATGTTCATGTCAGTTCCGTCATCACTAAACTTATTTATCATTACAGTACACAATTACATAACCAAAATCCACGAGAAGCAAAGACTCAAGATCTACCAACGGTGGCATTGTATCACTGATCCAAATATTTATAGCTAATTTATCTCATGTGAGATCCAGCACAAAGCCCACTTCATTCAGTGGCATATCACCCAACACTGTATAATGAAAGATATGTACAGGTGTTAGTAAATTTTTTTATAAGCTAAATTCGTAAACTTTAAAATTAGGTACAATATTTCTCTTTGGGGAACAATCACCTGCCATAATGCTTGCCTCTGTTATAAAAGTACAGTACATAATTGTAAATGTACATTTTCACATCATTAAATGTAAAGATGGAAGCAAATACTGACTATGAAATTAGAAGTTTTCAAATATCTCTTTTTACTTGATACCTGAAAGCTAATCAATCTTCCATTACAAAAACAGCCACCAGGAGCCTGCACAAGTAGATATAAACTTTAATAGAAGAATAATGATCAGTGCTCTTTGCATGGGTGAGCTAACCAAAATATGAAATAACTCACTTTTTCGCCAATTTCAGTCTTATCACCTCCTGGGAGCATATCAATGTCAGCCTGTAATGCACATGCTCTCAAGCTTGCATCATACTGAGCAGTCTGTTTTGTCTGATTGAAAAGAATGTTGTTCTCCAAGGTGGCATTCTGGATCCAGGCTTGTTGAGGAACATAAGCAACATTACCCTGAAAGATAAGAGAACATCACACATGATACAGGTACTTGAATAACCTTTAGCTAGAGCTATCATGTTAAAGATCATAATATTAAATAGAGGATGCAGACATACTGTAGTTTGAAATTTGACAAAAAAATATACATTAAATATAAACACGGACTACAGTATATTTGTCGATGTTTAATGTGTTTTTCCTTCATAATATGTGAGTCCAAAAATTACTGTGTGTATTATACACCAAAGGAACAAGGTTAAGAACTGTGATAGTTGGTTGGCTGTATGGGTCCATATACTGACAGCTACCCTGGCTAATGTGTACTCTCTGAGAAGGTGGGGAAGTAATTGTTGTCTCCAGTCATAAAGGCCATTTCTAGCTTATCACCTGACAATCTTGCCACTCAGCTTTCTGACAATTAGGTTCCACATTAATATTTTGGTATTACAGTGTATATTTATTTATTTTTTAATTTTCGTTTTGTGGCACTGCAGTATTATCATATTTTCATTATTCAGTAATATAAATTATTTAGATAAATTTACCATAAATGTAAAAAAAATATATTTTGGTTGTTTGGTGAGGACACTCAGCAGTGTTCATGCATCACCTTCTCACACAGATAAGGAGGTCAGGCTCACTGTCCCCTTTCTAGTTATGGAGAATTGATGTATTGTTTTTTAATGATTAAAGAAAGTGTGGACATTTATTTCGATCAATTTAATGATGAGTAAAATGCGTATGTTACAGTGTTTTCTATACTGGTAGGAGAAAACATTTACCGTATAGTACCTACAAAAATATTCAATTTCAATGAACACTGACATCTTGTTTTACAGTACCACCTGTACATGTACCATATAATGGCAAGTGCAAATATTTATTACTGGCGAGTACCATTTTACTGGTGTTCACGTAATTTTTCTTTTTTCTTTTCTGTTCAATTATATAAGAGTAGATACTAAATAGCTATGTGAATTTACTATTATGTTTTTTCTCTATTTTATTTTAAAATAATAGTGTATCTTGTACACCAGAGCATCTTATACCCTAAGTCTTTTTAAAGTATGTACAGCATTCTGCTTTGACAGTTAATAATAAGAAATTAACTATTTAACTTTACCTTAATATTTACTCTCCCTGAAATTTTTTCCATCTCTCCAAGAATGGCTGAGCAGAGGGAGGACTTGCCAGCTCCAACACCTCCAACAACAGCAACCAAAGAACCCTTGGGTATACTTATGTTAATACCTCTGAGTACTGGTTTGCTATCTTCCTCTCCATGTTCCCATGCAAAGGTTCCATTCTCAATTACAATGGGTCTATCTGAAAAGCACTCAAATAATGTACTTTAAAGTGAATGGCACATTGCTTTGGTTTTTCAAAAGTATATTACTGCAATTGAGAGGGAAGACTACTCCACTCTTTGTTGACCAAGAATAATAAATTAATACAAACAAAGACAAACTGTACTGGTAACTTACTCTCTGTGTTCTCTCTGGTGACACTGTTTGGGTCCAGCTCATTGGCATTCATAAATTTGTTCATTCTTTTGAGGGAAACATTTGCCTTTAAAAGAAAATGAAGTTAACTTAATATAAATCAACAATTATGAAATACCTCACACATATAGTTATTCTTGTATTAAGTCCTGATCAATACAGTATTGCTTCATAAAATAAATTTAATATTCTAAGGCAGTCAAAGCTTCTTTGACAATCTTCCACTACTATAGGATGGCTTGTGTCCTCCCATGTGGAAGGTAAGTGCAATCTTGGGGCTCTCAAAATACTACCTACACAATAAAAAACCCACCTAATTTAGCTTTACCAGTGGGTCACAATAAAGTAAAAGACAAAGATGATCAAGGGTTCAAAGAAGCACTGGAGGAGGCTGAGAATAACATGGATGTGGAGGATAAAAAAGATATGGAAGTCAATGGAGCATTTTCATGTGAGATCACTTTACTACTAGTCTGCCAAACTTAAAAATTGTACATATTTGATAAAAGCGTGTAAAGAGGGACTGAATAATTAACTATGTTAACAATGTTGCTATTTGAACAACTAATGGGTAATGTAACCAAGCTTGACAAGACAGATATTTTTCTTTCATCTTTTAATCATACTCATTATTCAAGTGAAGAAAATACTGTAAGAGAATCATCAGACTATAGGTGATGTACAGTCTCGTTCAAGATTCTTTGAACACTGCTGGCAACTCAAGGCTGTTTGTTTACTATAGTACGTAGTAAAAACTATGAATAAATGTAAAAGCAATCAGTGATTGGTTGCTTAGTTCCCCGTTGCTTAATTTAATGGTTGGGCTTTGTTGTTTCGTATTTTATTGTACTACATAATACAGTAAACAAACGGCCTTGAGTTGCCAGCTGTCTCCAGCAGTGTTCGAAGAATCTTGAACAAGACTGTACAAGACTCACCCACATCAACTGTGATCCCATTTTAGGCAAATGATTATAAAATATTTGACAGGATATCACAGAAAAACAAAAAAGAGAAACGGTATGCAATAAGACACAGTTTTCCACTCTTTAAATAGGTACAAAAATAAAAAAATAAATATATAAATAAAAAAAAACCCATACATTATAGTTAATGTTTTTATGAAATAAATATTGGATATACAAAATGTAATTTGTCCAGACTTACCTGCACTAGGCTTGTGATGAGCATGGGCAACATAGCAATGGGAAAGCGCAGGAGATTGAACAGTGCAAGGGATACGAATGCAGTTTTGGCATCTAAAATATTTTCTGAAGACAAATTTACGTAGGTGGCAAAGGTAGCCAGAGACACCTGTAGGAAGAGACAAAGCAAACTCATAAATTAGAAAGAATAAGAACCAAATAAGATTTAAGCACATCATAATGCTTCCCTACCCACATGCCATACCACACATTTGGGGACAATTTACCTCTATATCTTGCATATTAGTAAATCATTTGAACATAATCACACAAGTTCTCACAGTACAGCTAACATGACCATACCTAAAACCACAATACGTATTCTTATCCACATTATGGGTGGAATTGGAGGTTTCAGGACTTGACACACCCTAAGCTATTTTTCTTACAGAATACAAAAAATGCCACCATTTAGTTTCTGTTTTCAAAAAATTCCCTTAACAGAACCAACTCACACATGGCACGGCAAGACCAGTACATAAGTTACCTTATTCTAATCTTTGTAACCCCAAAACCAGATAAATTAAGATATTTATTCTAAGGAAGGTCTTATCTACACTGTACATGTTTATCACCTCCAACTATTAGAATTTCATCTTTCTTTCATGTACTCATCCTGGTACAGAGACCACATGATCATATCATTCATAGCTGGGGCAGAAATCCCTAATGCTTCATAGAAAGTCATAAAGACATGCTGATTTTAATCTCCTTCTGGAGCTCAATCTGTGCACAGTGTAAATAATACCAGTCCCACAGGCATGAACTGTGTATAAATCAATGCACTCATTTTGAACCTACCCAGTAAGCAACTATGATTAGAGATCTAAGTAAGAAAGGTAGATGAAAGAAGTACATCAGTGAAACAAGCAGCCAAGAAGACTTACATTAGATGAAATTGTAGGTTGTCATAACAATCTGTGTGAATATAAATGCAAAAAGGAAAGCCATTCATATGGTACACAAAAGAGATATTAATTGGAAGAAAGACCATTACTGAACTTTAAATACATATGAAAGAAAACATAATTATTAGGAATGTCAGGGAAACCATTAATCATTCTAATAAAAAAGCATTTTTAGAAGCTAAAGACTTGATAAACAGAAAAACCCTTCCAAAGAATTTCAAGTCAATCTTCTTGTATCTTACCAGAAATGGTGTGGAAGTCCAAATGAAGTTTGAACCCCCATTCAGAATAGCTGTCTGCTTCAGGATCTTAACCTCCTTATTACGTACAGCAATCACTTGATTCTCAAAAGATGGTTCCCATGCATACAACTTCAAAACCTGCAAATCCAACATAAATATTAAGTGGGTTTAGTTCTCTAAATTATTAATATTTTAAAGAAACACTTGAGAAACAAACAATTCAATATAATTATCACATCCAATACAACCTCTTTCATCTGAAATTATATCACCCTGATTTTCAGTCTTAACTAAATAGCTGGTCAGCAGAGCCTTTAATAAAATTTTGAACTGGTCAAAACTCCTGAAGTACTGGGCAATGATGGTCAGAAGACATATGGATAGTTTCAGCATCAGCAACTATGCATGCTTGCAACAGCAAATTACCCTCCTCTCCAACTGAGAACACATTCATGATCCTGCCTTGAAGTGAACATGTTAATATCCAAGGCAAGATTAGTTCACAAATAAATTTTCTATCTCAGAGCAATTAACTACAGTACCAAGATTTAGCAATCCAGTTTAGCCTGAAAATCCACTGGCAAGGGCTTATTCAAGTACAATACTGTACTGCACTAAGGAGCACTAAGAGAGAGTAATGGTAAATTCTATGATTCAAGTGTTTGAATACTAACTGCATAATCAAAACTAACCGTGGTACACAATCACCCTAGCCTCCCCAATTAAAGCGAGGTACCCATTCACAAAAGTGCCTGAAGCATGAACCAGCAACCCTTAGGTCAGGAAACAAGCATAATATCCATTCAACTGTTACCGGTGACCTGTGGACCTGATTTACTCTTCCCCGAGTCCATCTTCCAATTTACCTTCCTGCCCATAACTTTTGGTATGCAAGTTTGATGATGGATAAGCATTATTTAGAATAGTTTTCCACATTTACACTTTATATTTCCATGTTTCAGCTTTGTTAAAAAAGATTTTGTGTTAGCAAGCATGAAATTAACTGGAAGATCAGCATTTGGTAAAAAACAAAAATTAACTAAGAGACTACTAGGTGGAGTACAAGGCAAGATAGCATAAAACAGTGAGTACAAAATGTAAAGAAAGGACACTGTACAAATACTATTCCCCACAGGCAAAATGACATTACAGAACAATATACCTTGTGCTCAACGGGATGATATCACGTGTAGCGAGAGGAAATTACATTTAAAATCCACAGGCAACATACTATAGAACAGCATGCTCTCCAAGTAAATTATAATTGTGGAGAGGTTATTCTACTGCTCCCCGAAAGGATGCCAAAAAACATTATGCACTGCTGAAAGAGGAGATGTTATGAGAAGAAACTGTATAATCTTATAATACTGTCAGATAGCCGCATCAATTAGTCTTTACCAATGAACTCGAAAACTGACCTTTATACCATTCAGGATTTCATTCATAAGCTTTACACGGTGATCTTTGTTCTTCATTTGTTGTACCTGTAGTTGTTTCATCTTATTGGCTAACGCCCCATTCACAGGGATGAGCACAATCATAACTACCAAGCCAGAGAGTACAGATGGACCTGGGAGAAATTAATGATTAAGTAGGACAAATGGGAATGAGTAACTGAACAAAACAAACATATCATTATTGGGGATTTCATTTTGAATCTGCTAGCCAAAATGAAAATTACAATTGGCATTTAAGCAAATTCAAATTATTCCTGAAAAATAATCTTTGTTTATTTGAAAAACATTACCTTGAATTCTGTTAATTTGTAACCGGTACTGCTTTCCATATTCTAGTCACTGAAAATTTTCTCGTTTACCTTATGATTTCCAGTAGGTAAAACAAAGGCCCCTTTAACCCACCCCCATCAAATCAGTTTTTGGTCTTAGGCTTAAACATTTAGCAAATACCCTGAGGATTATCAACTTTGAATAAAAACAAAATATTGTGAGGTACATTAAAATACTAGACAGAGACAGAAGATAAGAAAGAGAGCATTAGACAATAATAAAAAGATCACCCAGATGGGTGCCAAGACTGTACAGTTCTGAGGAGATTCTACATGAGCCATTACGGTGTACAAAAGAAGGTAAGAAGTTTGCTGATTAGTATAAGAGGCAGTGAAATGTGTGTAAAGACTACTAGAGGAAAAATTACATGTGAATAAGTTGTGCAATCACGGTTAGTCAATAAAAAGATTCTTCAACACAACACCCAAAATATCTCTTGCCTCACCCAAAAGGTCCCAAAGGAAGTAGAGAGCTATGGCAATCTGTAATGGTGCAGACCAGATCATGTTCACATAAGTAGTAAGGTCCATGAATCGCTGAGCGTCAACTGACATCAAGTTTACTATTTCCCCAACTGTCGACTCTTTCCGAGCAGAATTGGAGATTTTCATGGCCTGAAAAAAGCAAAATATTAGTAACATACTACTGTTCATTTCTTTATTGTATATTACAATCACTTTAATAGAGATATCAGTTACAAAGACGATGCAGCTTGGAGGGCTGCCATTAGGTAAACACAGCTAACTCCTGCAAGTGTAGAAAATAATCATAAAACAGAGGAAGACGATCCATACACAGAAAAGTGGGAAAGGAGTCAATATAATAATGTGTTATTCTTCGAGTATTATATCCACTTCAAACAAAAAATTAAACAGGTACTGGTATTATTTATCCTTTCAGTCCTAAGTTTGGTCTATTTGTGGTAAAAAAAAAAAAATTACAAATCAATTGAACATAATTTTAAAAGCCATAAACAGCAAAAACAAAACAAATATAGAGCTACTATGTCTTCCTGGCATCTTCCTGCTGACAGGCTGTGTACTGTATATACTGAAGCTAAATTTCATCATGATTATCACACTCCTCAATATCACTACTTTCCATCAAAATTACATCTATTACTGCCTCTATTGCCACACATTCTTATCTACCAGATGCATTGGTATCACTCTCAATGCTGCCAGATACACATTCTGATGATCGTCCTTCCTCAATAGTATTTGTTGGGTAACTTAGCAGCTGTCAATATTCTTGGGGTGAATTATTACTATTGGTGACATATGGCATCATTTGGCAGCTCAAGGCCACTTCAGGATATTTGAAATAGGGTGGGAAGCATCAGTCCATATCTCATATGTGTGTAGGACTCTGGTCTCAAGTGTAAGACTACATGGGTTAAAGTCCTTATAAATGCTAAAACAGAAAGAAAGAGCAGCATGTCTTACATATAACAACTTGCTAAGTTTCTCACCTTTCGATAAACTGCCGAGACAACTCCTGTACGTACCCGAAGGCCCACTAACATCATCCTCATGAAATATTGACTAAGTATAAAGGATTGTAACTGGGCACATGCCAGCATTATCACAGCATAAAAGTATCCATGCCACATAGGTTCTTCCCCATCACTTTCAGAAAAGTTTATCAACAAACTGAAAAAAAAAGAAAAAAATCCACATCTTTCTTTTATTTGCTACAGCTTTAAATACAAATAAATGCCACAAAACAAGATATAAGGTAGTACCCAACATCTGTATTGCTGAAATATTTGCCACATGTTACACAGATAGCCTCTAGCCTGAACAAGTGCTGTTGGTTTAAACAGTGGTTCAGTATTAGAAAATAAGATTAGACAGATATGGATGAGAAATTGGTAAAACAGATTTATAAAAGCACACAGAGAGGCAAGAGATATACTGATGAATAGATGGTCAGACTAGAGGTAAACCAACTTAACCCTTATACTGTGATTTCCCCATATGAGCGTAGCCATTTTCTAAATTAAGTGTCTATTTTAGCATTCATCAAGAGAATCACATATCCTAGTAAACCTGCTTGTTCTACCCACACCTCAGTAAGGCTCTCAAGTGCCTTTATCACCGTGGAAATGCATATTAATCACCAATAGTGGCAGTCTGCCCTCCAACACCCCCACCTCCTCCCTAGCAGCTCAAGCTCACTTAATGCTACACTACAGCTGAACAAATGTTTATTAAATGATTTATAATTTCATTTTCATTCTTCTGCATATATATCCTTCATTTCCTAAGTATATAACAAGGTTTAAAAAGTTTTAAAGACTGTTTTTGTGCATACAGCACTGTAGTAAGCCAGTTTTTCATTAAAATGATCATAGATAATGTAAAATGGAGCATCAATATGTAAAACTGTAATGACTCAACTTATTATGCAATATACTGATGAGAAGCATTATCAAAGTTGGAGATGAAGGATTTACTTTTTTGCTGCAGGCAGTATACAGTATACACAAGTTGAATATAATGAGAAATGTAAGTGTGTGTGTGTGTGTGTGTTCCTGCTTACTGTTTTGGCCTTTTAATGCTGCTTCTGACAATTTTCCTACACCAACTCTCCCTACCATCTTCCTGTTTCTTAAGAAAGAAAGGAGACAGAAGGCAGATCAATAAGGCTTCTGCATTACTTGATCCATCCCATAAAAATAGGAGAAAAGAAAAATAGATAGATTATACAGATCAAAACAGCATAGAAGGATGAATTGATAAGACATAAACAGATAAATTAACACTTTCCTGTAGAACTTACCTGAGAATCTGTGGACTTATGAACTGCAAGCAATCATGGATGAGCTTGAGAAAAGCACCCATGAGGAAAGATGGTGCAAACATGCGCACCATGGTGGGCAAGATGGACAAGTAGTGCTCCTTGTTGCCTGCAGTACCCGTGATTTCTACATGGGTAGCATTGTTGGTACAGGTGGCTGATGTGTGAGACTCGCCCTTCCTGTTGATTGATTAATGCACTCTAGCTCAATACTGGCAGTTTTATTTGCTGGCATTAAAAACATGATACATCCCATGAGAAATTTTACCCTAAAAACACAAAATGAAAATATTACTAGATAAAAAAATACATAAAAAACAATGAATTGACATACAGTACTGTACCTGGATAAAGTTGTGACAAACTTTTTGACTACTATTCTGGACAGAGATGTAAGAGCAGATATAACTAAAGAGCTGGATGAGAAAAGTAACAGTTCTGTGAATGACTACCAACCTTGAACTCATTATGCTACAATGAAACACTACAGTAACTCCCGATCTTGGATTCCTTATGACACAATCAACTCATGCTTCAGTAAACACACCATCTTGGCTTCATTAAGATATAAATAACACACAAAATTACTACCAAGTCTAGCTCTAGCCTCTTGCAGATAAAACAAGGTTGTCATTTAGTGCCGGTAAGTCCCTTGCTGTATTACAACCAAGTCCATTGATGCTGAAACAGTTTATATACGGTACTAGTAATTGATCTCACTAATACTGTAGCTTGTGATGACTCCACACACACACTTAACAAATTATACAGAAATCCAAAATGCAGAGAATAAAAACATGCATTATCCTATCCCCCCCCTCCAGGACCAGCAGGGGAGAGCTATGACAAAGATGCACATTACACTACTCATATTGATCTCCTATTAAGTGGTATTAAGAAAGAATAGTTGAAACATATGCTAAATGTGTAGAGATCTTCAAGAAAACATGGCCCAAATCTCTAGCTAACACTTTAAAAAATTATCTTCAATGGCCTTAAATTAGAATAAAAGTACTATGGACATGCCTAGAGTCAACCAAGACAGCAAAACATGTAGCCTCCATCATTTCATATCATCCTGCTTTACTCGACTTAAGTATCTGGCAAAGTAACACCTCAGTGAACTGGTTTGGCAATGACACTTGCCTGATCTTTTACTGCACTTATAATCTGTAAAAAATAAATAAAAATTGGAAGCTAGAAGGTTGCCAGATCTCCTTTGACAGGGTCCTATTCCATCAGTAAGTGTACTGTGTGTAAGGATTAGTTTACCAAAAAGGAAACCACTCTTTCACTTTAGCCAGGACCATTCATTTACAAAGCACATATTCTACTGTCAAACAACAAAATCACTTACAATGACTAACAGTTGCATAGAAACAATTACATAATTACATTTTTACAGACTGAAAACTGACCATTCAATAATATAATTACATAAGACAGGAGATAATGTCACCCTTGGATTTACAATAATATAAAAAGGTATACAGTACTGGGGATAACTCATCAGTAATCTTGCAATAGAATGAAAAAATAAATTTGCAGAATTTATAATCATTGGTTTCTAAAGATGAAATATAATTGTATTCATGCGCTTAGCTCAGACTTTCCATAATCTATGGTACAAGCAGCTCAAGCAAGGAAAATATGACTACAAGGGTATGGAACAAATAAGCATACGGTACAGTAATTCTGGCAAGCTTCCAATATTCAGATGCTTTTTATTGCCTGTTTTAGACAAGCTTGCTGTGTCAACCATACTTACCCAAAATTGTCCCAAAATTTCCTGAGAGCAAGTGGGTTAGAAAGGGTAATATAAAGAATTTTCTTATTCAGTATCTCTGAGTAAATTTCAATAGAAAAGAAAAGTATCAATACACCTGCACTATCTTTAATTTTTATCAAATTTAGTTCATCACCATCTGCTCTAAAACACTGTACATTCTTCAGACAGAATTGCTCACACCATATTCCATGGGTTCCTACACACTGATTTTATCATTAATCTAAGATGTCTTTTTCAAAGTAGACAAAGTAAATATATATATATATATATATATATATATATATATATATATATATATATATATATATATATATATATATATATATATATATATATATATATATATATATATATATATATATATATATATATATATATATATATATATATAACAGTTACCGGCCATGACCCATGAGATATGGTAGTAAACAATCAGTAACAAACCCAAAGACTCCCATCTTGATCCGACAGCAAATTCAGACAGCCAAACAAAGGAACTGGTTACATGATGAGTTTCAGATTGTCCAAGTGTTCAGAGTCTATACCTTTCTACAACAAGATTTCCCTTCAATATGTATAGTATATCACACATGTGCTTGCATTCTTGTATTCTCTCCTCCTCATTCCTCACTCCATTTAATCTCCTCATTCCATGACCAGTTCTAAAAACAATGAAGTTGCTGTGTCTGGATTCTTGCTGTATATCACTGTCTCGCTTACACACATCACAGTTCAGTACACTGATTTCAGACAACCACAAATTTTAAGCATCATGATCATTATTAATTGATTCATCATGGTAGAATCAAAGTATTACTGAGTAATTAATCAAAATAAAAAAAAAAATAAGTCACATGCACTGTACTTACTTGTAGGCTTTTGCAGTAGTTTTCCTCCAGTTTTTATCCCATACTGTAACTACAGTGCGCGAAGCATTTTCATAAGATAAATCCCAAAGGTGTGTCTCTTTTATAGGGTTTTTGTAGCCTTTCCAAAACAACCCATCCAACCAGGAGTAGGTTATCCGGCAAAGGAAGGATGCCCCATTCTCAGGACAGGGTCTCTTTTAAACCAAAACAGCAGAATTTTAATCATCTAGACAATGCAGTAATTACAGTAAGAAAACTGTATAGGGAGATAGAAAGATACACTCAAGTCAAAAGAATATTCTAAAGAAACAATTAGGCATCTTTTCTTAGCTTCCCTGCAATTCCTAACTGCTGCAGATAACTCTCCCCTGACAGGGTGGCCATCAGAGAAGAGTCTCCAGGCTGCCCTATCCCTAATATATCTCCTTTGGCCTCTCTATTCTTTTTAGCCCTTCCACTATTTTCACCTTACAATACTGCACCATTCTCACTCCCAAATACCTGAAATCTTAAACCACCTCCAAGATCTGAACAATGACATCAAATCTTAATTCAACTTATTTGTACACTCATTACTTTATTGTACATTTTCATGATTTACCTACACTTTATAATTTGTGTCTTCATTAATTCTTTCATAAATTAAATCAGAATACGTATCACTCAAAGCACACCAAATGACCACACACAAAAAATAAAAATATACAACAAAAAAAGAATTCTGAAATGATATCTTATAGCCATCCTATCTACAATTCAGTACTGTGTATAGCAAAAATAATGACTGAATAATGAATTACAATAATTGGTTAATGAAGTACTTTAGCAAAAGTATGTTAACTAAACCTGAATACTGTATTCAAGTGGGGTGAATCAGACCATGTAGAGTGCTCTGATAATAAAAAATTATGAACCTGCATGTTACTGTTATATTTACCGAGTTCTAGGTAAATTTAGGTGGGCCAGACTCATCAAATAAGATTTATTGGGACAATTGGACCACAATGTTTTCTGCTTTGCTGTCTGTTTAATAATCATTCACGCACCCATCTGCTTCCTTGGTGTTCTTCTCTCCTCACCTTTATACAGTACCACCCTTCTCTCTCCTTCATCCCCCACCCCCTCTCCTACCATTCACTTCTTATTACAGATACACTTTTTATTTATTTTTTTTAATCCTTCAGTGCTCAAGTAGTAACAGAACAGACCCTGATCTTTACACAGGTTGCCTGCTTCACTCCATTTCGTATAAAAAAATATAATGAATATGGACACTTTGTATTGACCATGGCTTCAAAAATATAGAATGAATTAAATTCTTGATGCTACAGCATTATCAACAGTAATATTCTATAAATGAATCTTCTTGACCTCATTTTGGATCACTGTTTGTGGTCAAAAACAATCTTTCTGAATCTTGTGAGAATAAACACAATTGTTCCACTGAGCCATGATACAAGAAGTTAACAGCACTGTACACTGAGAAAGGGAGAGGAAACTTTTACCCCACCAACATTAGTGTTCACACTTTACAATTATTGTAGTAACAACAAAACACAATTCAAAACTGCTGTATGCTATTTTTACACCTTTCTCATATCCATAGTATCAACTACTAATTTTTTTTTCAGTGATACTGCATTTAGCTTAACAGCATACGATAGAGGGGGAAGCCCTGAAAATCACCCCATGTCCAGGTGTGGCCCTATTCACCTCACATCCAGGAGTAGCTTGATTTACCCCACTCAACACTAATTAGGTGAATAAAGAATAATACTAAAAACAATATAATATAAAACAAATCCCCATCCACACATATGAATAAACAGGTACAGTCTTGTTAAAATCTAGAGCAGCAATGAAATTTTTACTTATTACTTTTCTCCTTAACATCCCCCCCCAAAGATATCATTCATTAGACAGCTTATCATACTAATCTAATAAAAACATATCAATTTACCTCTCCTTTTGGGTAGTCAAGATGCAATGGGGTAGCATCACCAAAGCAGTTGAAAATAAGCATCAGCACAATCAGTGGGAAGTATACCATGTAGGTTCCAAATGTTAAGGACTCTGTTTCAGTCCACTGCAATACAAATAAAGTAGTGATAATTCTACCCCACACAATAAAAGAAGATAATTAATGTTCTCATTTAAACAGGCACACTATAATTTGATTTTCATACCTATACAATTATCATACTCATATTCCTGGCCTAGATACCCTGGAAATTTACCGATATGTATGAGAACCCATGCAAGAGTGTAAAATTACCAAAAAATTGTGGGGATGATGATATTATAATGCATTATGGGTATCAAATATTAATAAATTATGATTAAAAAGGTCATGATGAAAAGACACACAATTGCACAATGTTACGTAGAAATGCTATTCATAAGACATGACCCACACCAATTTATATCATCTAAAAACCTTGTACATACAGACTGACAAAAGTATTTTATTTATTTTTTTATGAGGTATAGTGTGCCTGTTTTAGCTCAAGCATATGAGGGCAAAACACAAATTAAACAAAAGTAAAAAGATAAGTAATATAATTGGAATGGCCATCATGAAATAGATTTTTAGGTTGTAATATTAATTGCATAATTATGAATACAGTACTTTAGTGCAGACTGAAAAGGTTGATGGATAACAGGAATGAATTGAAGGTATCCAAATTGGCAGACTCCACCAAATCTGAGCCACTTTAAATTATTCATACAACAAACATTTACTTATATACAGTGGTCCCTCGGTTACCGAACAGTTCGGTTAACGAATTACCTTCCACAAGAATCTCCAATTCGGTTAACAAAAAAAAATTCGATTCACGAAATCCTTACGAAAATCACGTTTTGTTGAGAGCATCAGCTGATGGAATGGTCTGCCAATTCAGTAATCTGTTCTATGTTTACATTCGTTTCCAATGGAGTAAATATCAATAAAGTTGTGCTATTTAATATTTTTGCATGTTTTATATTAAAATTATTAGTCATTTTAACATTTATTTAACATATTGATAATATAGGCAGTACAGGGAACTAGTTTGCTGTGCGCCCATCAGATGCGTGAGTCGGTCACAAGGCGTCAGTTGAGACTTTGAAAACAGTGGAGAGAGCATCTATTATTTTGGTGTCTTGAATATTTTTTAATTTTTCATTGAAATTATTGGTCACTCTGAACTTAAGTTAACATATTGATAATATATAGCGCAGTGCAGTGTTGATTTAAAGAAAATAATCTTGAATTATACCTAGTGAACTTAAAATTTTATTAGTGAAATGACTGCATCAAGCATGGGTCCACTGAAAGGTGATTCCTCTCCATCCCCACTTCCTTCTCTTCTCCCTTCTCCACCCCACTTCTAATTCCCATCATCATCATCAACCAGGAACCTTCTACATACACACCTCAAAGTAAGTGTACTTTACTGCAGTTTTTTTTACTTTGTATGTACTTTTCGGTGAGCTGGAACCAATTAACCAATATACCATTGAAACAATGGATTTGGTTAATGAAATTTTCGGTTAACGAACGAACTTCTGGAATGATTTGTGTTAGTTAACCGAGGGACCACTGTAATAAAAAAAAATTATTAACCCAATTTAGATAATGACAAAGTACACACGTCTTCAATTTACCATTAATGACTTCCACTATAAAACACCTTCAAATCCTCTTTGGTTCTTTTACCTAAACATTTGGTGAAGACTTTTCAATAAAGAGAAATATGACAGCATCTTGGCAAGAGAATGTTGAAGAGTTTCAACAGGAAAGGTTTCTTGTGGGTATGAGGGGAATGGAGAACATCAGAGGCATATTCAGATGAAGCCACCGATAAAATTTTCTGCCAGCTGTTAGAGACCAGGGGTTCACAGATGGAGTTACCCAAGCCAATTATATAAAAAATTGTGTCAAATGTAAAAGTAATGGGAACAACGGTTCACAATCTACTAGTGGTTTTGTTTGGTGTAAATTTTTAGACACAAAACTGAAAAATGTGGAAGATTACCTGGTCTTGGATACTGACGAAATAACTGCCATACTCGGGAATGCCACATATCACCAGCAGCAACCAGAAGATAAAGAGATAGCCGGAGCTCTGGAAACCTCTTTTCTTCTCTATTAACACCCATGATGCTTGAAGAAACTGTACCAAACAAGAAAGTGGCATTGCTATAAAATCTATATTTATTGCACTGACTGGAAATTGAGAACACAAAGAAATTACTGGACTCAATATTTCATCCTCTTTCACAAATGAGCAAGTAATATACCATCCACCTTAAAAGATCCTTCAGTCATTATCATGCTGCAGCAACACAATCACTGCTAACGTATTCCTTCACACTATATTAACTTCCAGCTTAATAAGATTAACTGCTCATTATCACAAAACAATAAGAAATTAACTAAAAAACAATGCAGTACTGTACTGTCTTAAGAGGGTACTGTATTACGTGTTACATGCACAGTCCCCTTCACTAGTGTGTTTACAGGGGCTCGTCATATAAACATTCCACAAATCATTATCTTTGATATATTTGTTTTAATATTGTTTCAATTTGATTCCATAGTATGTTTACTATTGCGAATTTTCTACTGTCGAATGTAAGCAAACACAACGCTACCACACTGCATAAACCCTGACCAGCCTCTGTAAATGTAATAGTGAAGGTGAATAAACCTTTCTTGGGTAGTGACAAAAATATATACAGTACTGTACCCTGCATATTAATCTAAGAAGGCGTCTGGTGTACAATACATTCACAAAAAATCTCAAATGTATTTCACAGATATCCAAAGAGCAAAATTCTGAAGATAATGATAATTTGTATCTTACAGCAAATTGTTTCATCTATGAAGTCACAGTGTACAAGTCCGACTCTAGCAAAGATTAAAAGCTTACTTACAACAGCATGCACACAACCTGATTTACAACTTTCCAAAAGCATGCATACAACTTGTCACCTCACCATAACTTAATAACTTCCACACAACATATTGCTTTGGTTGCTTCACCAGAGAATTGCAACTCTTTCCACACTGATTACCACACAATATATATACTGTATCTCCTTTACATACAAAATCAGTTCAAATCATGTGGCAAACATTTCAAATACACCCACCTCTCGTTTTACTCGGGGTTTACGTTCTTGAAAACCACCGCTTAATTAAAAAACGCGGAAATTAAAGCCAATTTTCCCATAAGAATACGACACGTACATGGTACAGGTTAGGGGAACTATCATATACCAGACAGAGTACGAACAGTGCTCTCACTTAAACCAATCACGCGGCCAACCTCAGAAACACGCTCTCATCTCTGAAGGCGGATGATCACATTTAATTTCACGTCCATTGCGATTGTTTTTCGTGCCTTTATAGCTTTAAGCGGCAAATGAGAGTACAGCGAAAAGGTAGTGCAGGTGTGAACTGAGAAAGCGATACGAGGGAAGCTTGCTGGACGTCGTCACAGTTGTTGTACAGAATACTTCATTATCATCATTATCTTCATCATTATTAGTCATAATTTTTATTATTATAATATTATAATAATTATTATTATTAACAATAATATTAAAATCGTTGATGTTGATATGACTGCGACTTTATAGTAATAACTTACAAGCACCTCACCAGGCATCACATGCAACTCCACTGCTAGGCAACCAGGCTAATACGCGCGGCAAATTTAAACTGTCTTGAGCGCGTTACATAGATCCCTCGGTTAACGAATTACCTTCCATAAGATTCTTCACTTCGGTTAACGAGCAAACCCTCGGTTAACAAATTCCTTACGGATTTTTCCCAGCATGTTTTCGCCTGCATTTGGCTGCCCACCAGCTGCAGTATTAGTCCGCCAATACAGTAATCGGTTTTAGGGCTTAAATTCCTTACCATTTTAGTAAATATCAAGAAGGTTGTACTATTCAATAATTTTAAAAGTTTTATATTAAATTTTTTAGTAATTTTAACAATTATTGAACATAATTGAAGTACAGGAAACTAGTTTTTTGTGCGCCAAACAGCCACTCAACACACCAAGCTTGGCGTCAGTTTGTTTGCCAGTTCAGAGGAAGGAACATCTTGTTTGAGACTCTTCAAAATAAACGCTTATTTTTTGTGTTTCCAGTCAAATTATTGGTAATTTTGAAATATATTTTACATATTGATAATATATAGCGCAGTGCAGTGTTGATTTAAAGAAAATAATCTTGAATTACATCAAGTGAACTAAAATTTTATGGCTGAAATGGCGGCATGGGGTGACTTCTCTTCCACCCCAATGCCTTCTCTTCTCCCTTGTCTTCACCCCCATTCTAATTCCCATCATCATCATCATCAACCAGGAGTCTTCTACATGCACACCTCAAAGTAAGTGTACTTTACTGCATTTATTTTTAGTTTGTATGTAATTTTCGGTGAGCTGGAACCAATTACCCAAAAACCCATTGAAACAATGGTTTCGGTTAACGAATTTTTCGGTTAATGAGCAACCTTTTGGAACGAATTGTGCTCGTTAACCGAGGGACCACTGTATTTCAAAATTTGGTGCGCGTAAATAGGTTTTGCTATTAATTGAACAATTGCGTCATTCCTAAAACGCTTAAATCAAACGCGAGTTACCTGTACTGTATAGTAGTACAGGTACACAAAAAAGACACGTCTACTATGTAAAGTGTTAGACCACACAACACGGCAATGATCTATGACAGAGGAAACGTAATAACACATAAACTTTCAATTAGTATACTGTACTGCATTGAATTACACACAGACAAAAAATAAATAAATTCTAAACTTACTATTGAGACAAAGATCACCAACGGAGTAAGAAAATGAACACAATATACATCCTCTCCGATTCTCCATTTATGTACTGCATAAAAAAAGTCTATAAGTTGAAGCATTAACAGAAGTGCAGACCCAACCTGTAAATATAAAACAAGATATAGTAGTAAACTCTATAATCATATTATCCATAAAAAATATTTAAAACGAAATATGAAAACTTTTAACTTAACCTAAAAATAAAGTACCCGGTAGTAAAGAGTTGTAAGAACCATAATTCAAAGCCATCTAACATCCCTATGGGTTAACTGTTCTTTCCCTAATTCCTAACCAACTAGTAACACTGTTAAAGAGTCTCATTTCACAACAATACAAGAAATCATTAAAATAACATAGGCATTGTGGGTTCTCCTGAAACCTAAGACCAACTAAGCATCAACAGTTATAAATACTGAACATGAGTAAACAGGATGTCCTCAAAGCTAGTTCTCTCTCAACTGTTCATAGTGTTTGTCTTACTTGACTGGTTTTCAGACTTCAGAAGACCCAACAATGATTTTTTTCTAATCTTTATCACTTTTTTTATCAAGCTTAAACTGAAGCATATTTCCTCAAATTTCATAATAAATTATATACAGAACATGTAATATTTTTAGACTTAATTTTTACCCATTTCTCTACCTAGTAGCATACTTAAAGGTATGAAAATGTAAGATATTTCAATACTTTAAAAATTTCAAAAAAATTTGAGGGCAAAATTGTAGCTCCTGGAGCCATATGTGATTACTTGTACTGTACACCACCAACTTAAGCCTTCTAAATATTGAAAACTAACTAACTAACCCAACCAACCTTTGCCTAACTTACCCTCACCTTAAGTACAGTACTTATAATAGCGTTTTCTATTTCTAAAAATAAAATTTCATACCAGAAATTATACCCAAGCCTTATCCTAATGTTTAGATTCATATTAGGTGTAAATGTGTATCTCAAAGATCATGTAAACTACTTTTCCCTTTGCCCATGACCTCTCATGACCAAGTTCTCAACCATGACCAAAATCAGGTAATATTTATTTGCTGATTTATATAAAGAAGAGAGAAGAGGAACAGAGAAGGTATATTAAATACAGTACAGTATGTAAAGAAAGGACAACCTCAGGTTCTTCTATCATGGCCATCCCCTAGGAGGAGAATTCCCTAAGGGAGTGCGGAATGTTAAGTATGATAAAAGAATAAAATATCAAACTTAAAACATTCATTGTAGAATTGCTTCACTCACTAGCTTAGAGATGCTGAGCCAGGTCCACGGCACTAGTCGGTCCACACTGCGGAGGACATAATGTGTTTCCAATGGCGCAAACACCCAAAGAAAACCACACGGCACCCACACCAGCACTGTCCGCTCAAAGCATGGCGTGAACTCTGGGGTCTCGGAATTCCATGTATGATTTGTATCCTGAAATATAGAAATATAGAAGAGTATTACATTACTTAACATTATTGGCTACTACCACTACATACGGTACTGTATTATAAATTCTTCCGGCTGTGCCATTACTGTACTAGTCACCAGAAATATATTCCAAATTTATAACACTCGATTCCTGCTAAAATCATACACCTGAGACTTCAAAGTAAAACTGTAACTAATTGTGAATTAATATGGAGCCACTCTCAGATTGGTGTACCCAGGGCCAGCCTTAACCCAATTGGACCAATTGCTCCCAATTGGGCCCCGCACCTCCTAAGGTTGGCCCTGAGTGTACCCCTGCCATTTCTCAGCTCACACTACCTCTAGAGGCACTATAGTGATTACAACACCATCTATCAATGTCAACAACATAAAGATAATTGAAAAAGAAAAACGATAATGACTGTAGACAGGTAAAAGTTATATACTACCCGATGGCAAAAAATACAAGTTTTTCCACAGTCAACTAAAAGTGGCATATTATCTGACAGCAGCAAAAATGTTCATCAAACGCTGATACATGTAGTCGAATTTGATGGGAGTGACCTACCAGCTCCACTAATAACCCAGCAGGCCTCTCCACACAGTGTACCTTTAGACCAACACAACTAACACTTAACTAACACATTAGAAGAAAAAAAATATAAATCTGACTTCCATTCCCAGCACCAGAAGGACCTGGGAAGGCTCACTTACTCTACCACAAAAAAAAAAAGCGAAGAAGCATAATAAATAAACCAATACTACTACTGTATATGTGCTAATATATAAGAATGGTCTGAGAATCATTGGGAGCAAATCAAATAAAACCCAATATATAAGATGAAAAGATATGGTTGAGCCCAGACTCTTTCTACTCCTATTGTATTTCAGTTTCACCACTTTTCCTTCAAACCCCTAATAATCTTCTTCACCTCAACTCATGACTCCAATGGTCCAGTTTGCGGGTATAAGTCAGTGCACCGGTAATTTCCAAGGATTAAATGTAGGTTTAAAAGGCATTATGCATTACCCAACTTTGGAATATAGTTACATATACAGTAGCTTACATAATAGCTAATATATTTTTTTAAATTACCGGGGGTATGTATTTTAATTATATGTACTACCAGGTAAACACCCGCATCACATCAAACAAGCAGGTCCAAGGGGATGTGTATCATTTCAATGCTATGACCTTCAACAATGTTACTCTACCTAAGTCATGTGTGACAGTAGGATGGAGTCACTGGCAGATTTTCTCTACAATCATATAATATCCTCTGTAGAAATGACTAGCAAAATAATCAACATGTAAAATTCTGAAATGAGATAAATCTAACCTGAAAATATTACACTGTCTTCTCAACATATGCTCCATGAGGATATAGATATGTAGATAAATTCTACTTTGTAAAGTTAAGTGAGAATAACAGAACTAACCCAAAGTGGTGAGCCGCAGAAGTCGTACAATGCACCGTCTTCCGCCATGATACCACCACTGAGTCCCAGGCGCCAGAGTCTGCTGCTCAAGATGGATCGGTAATTACCATATACTGCCTTTTCTCTAACTTTATTCCTTATCTTACAAGTTTTTTTAATCCATTCAGGGATCAAATTTACCTTATATTATTAGAAATCAACAATTATATTTATTTATCTGATCACTGTTGATTGTAAAGGTTCATAAGTTACGCCAAAATATTTTAGGATATTTGCCATTCGCTATTTGTCAGCAGACGACACTGGATAACGTGACGTAACAAATTAAAGTTCTTTCTTATGCCTGGTCGCTGGAGGCTCTGCATTATGTATTTGCCATTACACCACCTTTCGGCATACCAGCCGTTCGGGCGGGGGGTCAGTTATTTATCACTTTATGACTTATTGTTGATCTTTAGTTTAGTGGCTATATGCAGATACTATCATCGCAATTCAATACAGATATAGGAAAGAAACACTAAATACTACATAGGATAAATTTAAAGTGCAGATTTTTATGATTGTGTGGGGTTTTTGGGATGTTTGGTTCACACTCAGGATGGGATGGAGAAAGGAAACTCACAATGTGCTCTCTGTATACATGTTGTATTGGATACACAATGCAGCTTGGTGCTGGGAAGGCAGCATGGTTACAAGCGTGATGTAGAGAGAGCTGGTTGGTGAGGGTGCTTGTAGTGGATTTCTCCCCTACAAACGCTGTTTGTCGCTGCCTAGTCGACCCCACCAATTCCCCAGTGTATGCCTCGTGGTCTGGGTCAACCAGGGCCGCCATACATCACGAAGCGAGGGTCAACTACTAAGCCACGCCTACCCCCCGCTATTTAAGACCTTGTGGGGTATGAAATTGTTTGGTTCACACTCAGGATGGAATGGAGAAAGGAAACTCACAATGTGCTCTCTGTATACATGTTGTATTGGATGTACAATGCAGCTTGGTGCTGGGAAGGCAGCATGGTTACAAGCGTGATGTAGAGAGAGCTGGTTGGTGAGGACGCTCAGAGAAGGACAGCTTGTGGGTCGCCATGCTCGCCAGCGGGAGAGAGGACCGCCAGGCAGGCGGAGGAGCGAGGCCCGCCGGGCAGCGGCGGAGGAGGAGGTGTTGCTGGCTGGTTGGTGTAGGTAGAAGGAGAGACAGATCACCACGAGGTCAGGTCTTAAATAGCGGGGGTAGGCGTGGCTTAGCAGTTGACCCCCGCTCCGTGGTGTATGGCGGCGCTGGTTGACCTAGACCACGAGGCATACACTGGGGAATTGGTGGGGTCGGCTAGGCAGCGACAAACAGCGTTTGTAGGGGAGAATTCCACTACAACCTGACCTCGTGGTGACCTGTCTCTCTTCTACCTACACCAACCAGCCAGCAACACCTCCTCCTCCTCCGCCGCTGCCTGGCGGCCTTCCCTGCTCCTCCTCCGCCTGCCTGGCGGTCCTCTCTCCCGCCGGCGAGCTTGGCGACCCACAAGCTGTTCTTCTCTGAGCGTCCTCACCAACCAGCTCTCTCTACATCACGCTTGTAACCATGCTGCCTTCCCAGCACCAAGCTGCATTGTACATCCAATACAACATGTATACAGAGAGCACATTGTGAGTTTCCTTTCTCCATTCCATCCTGAGTGTGAACCAAACATCCTGAACCCCACAATGGTGACCCCCGGAGATTCGCACTCACACAGGATGGAGGAGAAGCTGATCACGCTCCCAGTCTTCAAGCAACATGGAAGACTGGCTTATCCACACAGAAGCAGCTCTCATCGGCTCTACAACTACTGTCTCTACACCGCAGGTTAGACACCCTAGAGCAGCTCTGCTACTCTAAGCAGACAGCCGCTCTTCTTCCGACCCCAGCACACCCGTCCTGCCTCAGACGCCGACCCCGGCCCAGCAGTAACCCCTGCCGCCCCTGACGCGGCCTCTGTTCCTGAGTGCGGACCCACACCCCTCTTTTCTCCCTCAGGTACTTCCTGCTAATGTCATGCACCCTGCTGCTGTCGTGGACCCAGCTGCTGTCACGAGCCATCATCCGCTTCTGCTGACGCAGCCCCTGCTCCTGACCCAGGCCCACACATCCCAGCAGGCGCATATGACGACTCTGCACCTGCCGTGAGGGAAGCACAACATTCATCGCCTCCGCACACCCTTTTTCACCCTCTCTTCTCCCACAGATAGTGTGTATATAGACAGTTGTATCCAGCGACCGGCTCATCCACGCCATCGCCGTTGTCTCACATGAGGCATGCACCGCCCATTCTGCCTCACATGTGCTATGCAACCCTGCAGGCAACAAGTCTCCTACACCGCCTTGAAGGTAGGGGGAGTATTGTAGTGGATTTCTCCCCTACAAACGCTGTTTGCCGCTGAGTAGTCGACCCCACCAATTCCCCAGTGTATGCCTCGTGGTCTGGGTCAACCAGCGCCGCCATACATCACGGAGCGGGGGTCAACTACTAAGCCACGCCTACCCCCCGCTATTTAAGACCTGACCTCGTGGTGACCTGTCTCTCTTCTACCTACACCAAGCAGCCAGCAACACCTACACCTCCTCCGCCGCTGCCTGGCGCCCCTCCCTCCTCCTCCGCCTGCCTGGCGGTCCTCTCTCCCGCCGGCGAGCATGGCGACCCACAAGCTGTCCTTCTCTGAGCACCCTCACCAACCAGCTCTCTCTACAGCATGCTTGTAACCATGCTGCCTTCCCAGCACCAAGCTGCATTGTACACCCAATACAACATGTATACAGAGAGCACATCGTGAGTTTCCTTTCTCCATTCCATCCTGAGTGGGGCGGGGTCACTGCTCCCAGGCAGGAGCCCTGTGTTATAGGTAGGATTGGGATGTAATCAAGGAAGATGACTACATGCATTAGAATAAAACATAGAGATAAGGGACACTCTATTGGAAGAGGAAAAGTGGCAGAAATCACTTACAACAAATTGCAAGTCCCACTAACAAGAATATTTAGCACCAACGAAGGTTTCAAAGTAATCTTTAAAGATGACTTTGACTCAGACAAAATCCTTTCAAAAGAAGCCAGAGATGTATTTTACAATGAAGGACTTGTTGTTGTCATGCCACCAAATCAAAAAGCAAAAAGATCAGTTTTCGTTCGTCAAGTCGACCAAGAGATCGGGAGGAAGACATCTGAAGATCTGAAAGATGAACTGGAATGCCAAAACAGTTGGATGAAGATCGAGGAAGTCATCAAGATAAAAGACTACACTCATGTTTTCAAGATTACCTTCAAAGAAGTTTCAATGGCTGAAAAAGTTTTACAACAGGGCTTTCTAATATTTAACATGTCAGTAACACCTCATCAAATAAAGAAGGAAACATTCATCAGTCTGCAAACTTGCTTTTCCTGTTACAAATATGAAGATCACACAGCGAGAGACTGTCCAGAAAAAGAGAAAAAGTACTGCTCAGATTGTGCAGGCGACGACCATACCTACACTGAATGTAAGAACACACATGTTGGCTGTCTCAACTGTAAGAAAAACGGGAATGCATACATAGGACACAGGACGTTAGCAATGGCATGCCCAATAAAAAAACACATGATAAAGTACAAGGAACAAGAAACAAGGAAAAAGGAACAAGACAAGAAGGATACGACATACGTCGAAATAGCCGAGAGCGGTTCAAGAGGCTCACAGACCAGAATCCACCATATTAAACTTAAGTGAACCAATACATGACAAGGTAATGATTAGTATGATCCATGCACATCTGCACAATATCATTGCACCCGGATCATACAATGAGGAGTTAAGGAAAATGTTTAAATTGAATAACCTACCAGAGATGATATTCCCAGAGGATCCAGAATCCGAAAAACTATTTCAGGCAACATACTCAAGCAAACTGAGAGAAAGACTACAGCTAGACAAACAAAGGTTTGAGCAAGGAGCAACAGCTAATACACAAGGAACACAAGCGACTGATAGAGATCCCAGACAAATGACTAGAAGTGACAAAGAGAAGATAGAAATAACAAAAGGACAGACTACAAGACAAAGGATAAGGAGGAGAGAAGACAAGATGGAGACTGATCACAATATACAACCTGAATCTGCTGAAGATATTGGATTAAAAGTTATCACTACAACAAAACATGGAATCCCAACATCGAGACCAACAGGAGGGACAATAGTAAAAAACTGTGAAGGAGGGATATACAAGTGGACATATCAAGAAAAATCCCAAAGTGAAGATTACGTCTGGACACTAATCACTATGGACAAACTAAAGATTACGACCAATGACTTTAAAATAGTAGACCCGTCAGAGTTTAGAAGAGTCAGAAGCGGGAAACAGGACGATAGGTCTCCACTCCAACTGCCACAATCCAAGTATAAGAAATAATGGACAATAGTCAAACAGTAAGAACTTTAAGAATAATACAACACAACGTAAGAAACTGGAAGACCGAGAGAATTAACCTAAGTAATATATATCAAGAAATGGACCCTGACGTTATACTAATAAACAGTCGCGGTGAGACAGACAACAACAACATAAAACTCTTTAACTATTATGTAAACCAAAGAAATAAATCGGGCGAGAAAAATGACGGAGTAGCTACAGCGGTTAAAAGAAACTTAAAATTTAAACTCATCGATGACATCCAGGATGAATTTCTAGCAATAAAAATAAATACAACTCAAGGAGACGTAATTATTGCTACTACTTATCTCCCACCGAGACGACCCTACTTACCTATAGAAGACCTATTAAAATTGGCTAACAATAGTCATCCGATGTACATCTTAGGAGACTTTAACGCCAGACACAGGATTTTCGACAATACAAATAATAACGCCGTGGGAAACGCCCTTAATCAATTAATAAACCTAGGGAAAATCAATCATCTAGGTCCTAACTTTCCAACCTGGAGAAATCACAATACACAATCGACACCAGACAAAATTTTTACCAACAACAAAGCCTTTTTCAATTACCATATAAAACAAGGACCTCTTACAGGCAGTGACCATCTGCCAATTATACTAACACTGTCAACAAGCCCCATACAGATACCAATAAAAAAGAGACTGAAAATGAGTAAAACAGACTGGGACAGCTTCAAAGACGACTTAGGTAATCACCACTCGATTAACCTACAAGGGAAAACAACAGAAGACATAGACTCAGAAATGGACAGACTGCACTCAGCAATAAAAACATCTATAACCAAACACACTCCTACTTCACACTTTAGAACATTACCCAACAACAGACTACCAGAAGAAGTTAAATTAATCCAAACCATTACAATGAAATAAACAGGTATATGGAAAGACACGGCAGTAACAGATGGCTATATACGACGCAGACAGCACTACAGATAAAATTAAGAGACGCATGTAAGGAAGCAAACAATAAAAAATGGAATGATATTATAATGGCGGCCGACAAGACTAAAGACACAAAAACATTTTGGACTTCCATAAACAAGATGATGGGGCACAACAAGCAAAAACCACCATACATTAAAGACCAAAATAGAATAAAACTGCACGAGGAAAATGAACAAGAGTCAGCATTCAAAAGGGAATGGGTAAAAGTTTTTAAAATATCAGATGAGGAAAATGAAAATTTTGATAGGGAACACGAAGAAAGGATAGAAGATGAAATGGGAAGACACATACTGTACATAGAATCACCCCAAAGCAATATATAGACTATAACTTACTACCTAATAATCAAATAATAACCATGGGAGAAATGATGCACTGTCTGAGGAAGTTTAGGGAAAAAGCCCCCGGGCTCACAGGTATTACACGAAATATGATCATGAATCTACCTGAAAACATCTTAAAAACACTATTAAACATTTATAACGCATGCTTAATAACCGGTTACTTTTCAGACAAACTAAAATATGCTAAAATGATACAGTATTTATTCCCAAGGAAGGTAAGGACAATAAGGAAATATTAAACTACAGGCCAATATCTTTATTAGAAATTACCAGGAACTATTGGAAAAAATTTTAAATTCAAGACTTATAACCTTTTTAACACAACAGCGGAAAACTAACAATAGACAACATGGATTTATGCCCAACAGAAATACCCTAACTGCAATAGCTACAATAACGGAAATAATTGCAATAGAAAAAAGCAAGGGAACCAGATCAATATAATTTTAAGGTACGTTTCTAAGGCTTTTGATAAAGTTTGGGACTTAACGAACACTTGCTAAGAATATTGTGTAACTATTTAGATGATAGGAGAGCACAAATTCAAATTGGAAACTTTATGGGAACTATGTTTAATCTTGAGAGTGGAGTACCTCAAGGAGGATGCCTTTCTCCAACACTATATACAATTTATACCTCAGACACACCTCAACCAACCCCCTTTAGCGAATATGTAATGTTTGCTGATGATATTACTCAAATAGTATCATACCCAGGAAAATCAACCCAATTTATGAGAAAAAATGGAAAATCAGGACAAATAAGAACAAATTCAAGATAATACCAATAGTCAAGATCAAAACAAGTCCAGTAATAGTCGACCAGGAACTATACCCACACGACACTGAAGGCAGGATGCTTGGACTAAAACTAACAAAAAGAGGATATATAACATACTTAAAAGATAAAGAACGACAGGCAAGAATAAGATTACCACATACTACCCTGTACTACCACATACTGCTCTGTACTACCACATACTACTCTGTACCACCACATACTACCCTGTACTACCACATACTACCCTGTACTACCACATACTACCCTGTACCACCACATACTACCCTGTACTACCACATACTACCCTGTGCTACCCTGTGCTACCACATACTACCCTGTACTCCCACATACTACCCTGTACCACCACATACTATACCATCTACTACTCAGTATTAAAACTACCTGTAATTACAGTGTTTACTATGAGTTACAATCTCCCCAGCTGGCCATCAACCCCACACACAGGGTGATGTAGTCAAGACAGGATGAACAATATAGGTAACTCTTCCTCCCCAAAAGCATCAACTGATTTTTGGGGGAAATATCTACCCTAAATAGCACAGTATGGAGGAGTAATAACAACTATAATGATCGTGTCCATTACAGAGTCCACCGAATCAGGGCCTATTGTGGTGTGGTGCCTGGTTGTAAGTCATGCCATCACCCATTCCTGAAACTGAACTTGGCATTTGGTTATAATTTGGCTTGACATAAGAGTTCTGGATGGAGTTGTTTTCTTGTTTATCTTTATTTTCTTTCTTTCATATCAATATTATTACCATGCTTTCATTATTCTTTATGGTATTAATATTTTATCTATAGTTACAATACCCAGTAGTTCTAGTTATTTCTATTTATCTTTTCTTATCACTAGTGTATTATTATGCTTCTTCCTACAGTAGTACTAAATAATATCTTTTGGGTGATATGGCAGCTGGGGAGGTGAAGAGATTATGGGTAGTGGCCTTTAGATCTCTAGATAATTTATAAGTACAATCTCTCTCACATCCATGACCGTAGGATTTATGGACTCGAGAACTGTAGTGAGTTTTAAATATGAAGGATTATTGGTGGTTTATTGTACTGCTGTAAAACTCATGGAAACAAAGCGCTGAGCTCCCCACCCAAGCTGCCAATATACCCTACCCAGTAATCCACACAAACTGCAAAAGTATAAAAGTCTGTGAAGCAATCTACTGAGTCAGGGTTAACTACTACAGGTTTAAGGTGGTGGTACAGTCTGCACAATAAAGAGGCCACCACTTTAATTTGTGCTGGAACAGGTTATTCATCACTACAATTTGACATTGCTTTTATTTCCAAGTATAATTTATCCAGATAATCAACAACTATCAGTTTTAAGATACACATACAAGTTTGTGTACAGTAAATGTATCAAATAAGAAGATAGGTCTCTTCATCATTATATATACTGGTCATTTTACTGAGTATTACCTACACACTCAATCAAACTTCATCAACCTGCCAAATAGTTCATATCTAACCAACCATACTGCTACATCAGCCATTCACATACAGTATTACATATTTTAAAAATGTATAAAAATATCCTCAGCTGTATTTGTATTGCATCACAATTATTAATTAATGCATGATACCCAATTACAGTACAGTTCTTGTTCTTCTGTTGAACACTATATTGTACACACGTGAATAGAGATTCTAGGTCTATGGAATCTAACTATATTTCCCAACCATTACACAACAATATGCAATATCAGCGGTCAAGTTGAAAATGTTACGGGAACAAACTTCCCAATTCATGGTAAACTGTGTTCATTTATCACAAAATGCTCACAGGTAAGTAATTGCACTCGTTCATCTGTACATTAATGCACAGAGTGAATATATGTCTAAACATGTTTCAATGAGCAATGAACAACAATAAACAATCGAAAGATTTTACCCCCCAGCCTCATACAAGAGTGGTAGCCATACGAAGGGACATTTAGGTACAGTATCCTTACTCTGGGTCCACCCACTGATTACAAATACATTCTAGAGGCTCTTTTTTTCAGATTACCCTTCATGTGACCTGTTTATAAAAGAAGAATCATAAGATATTACAGTATATACAGTGCAGTAAAAGTTTTCAGTTACAGTATTATCACACAGAATCAGATACAGTACAGGATATCATTACCTTACTTTACAAAGATTCAGCATTACCTGTACACACATCAAGTAAACTTATTAAGAAAACAACCTAAACATCAATGCAAATTAATATTCAATCAAATTATTATTTATATATACTGTACAAGCATTTGAATATGTTATAATTCTAACAGGGTAAAACCACTTATAAGATACAAAAAGCTTGATTTCAGAAACTAAATGAGTCATATTGTTATTACAACTGTATTCCTGAGTTACTAGACAGACATGTATGGTAAACTATAGTGCAACTCAGTACTGTGCTACATTGGAATCGAGGTTAACCAAGACTAGAAGTGTCCACCATTTCTCACCGTCACAAGCGTCATCCCCACTTCTGAAAACCATACATTTATAAGTACTGTATCAGACACAACATTAAAGACAACATCCTCTAGCATAAAATTCACCTTAAGAGTGGCTGGGTTATATAATTATTTGTCCACTACAACTCCACAAAATGAAAACCTTATTTTAAGAAGAATTTTGGTATGAAATCTTTTTAAACTTTTAAGGGGGGGGGGGTAAAAATTATGAAGGTGACAGGACAAGACTAACACCAAGTGAAAAATCTCAACACTACTGTACTTACTCGTATCTAAAATGAAGTCAAGTAGAAAAGTATCGCTAAAATAACACTTATGTACTGCTCTGTGATGAAATTCTGCATTAAGATTAAGGTAAGTGGGTAGTCTTTGATTAGCTACCTCAGGGAGTAGTAATTCTACCTTGCCAGTTAATAGGGCATTTGGAAGTCCTTCGTATAATGCTATTCCCACTCTGTAAAAGTAGAGTGATGCAAGGAAGGACATCCAACCTTGCTTCATGTTTGTCTGATTGTAACTGAGACACCACACCATCAGGTATTCATGGCTAACTCACTCTAAGATGGAAAATGAACTGAACACAGTAATGATGATAAAAATGGATACTGAACAAAAATAGTAAATCAACAAACACTACTTATTTAGATTCCTTATCAGTAAAACTCAGTTTTTGTTTCCTTAGTAACAGCCTTTAAAAAAAAAATTTTTGCCTATCTTGGCATATTTGGAACTAATTTTCAGTTCAGTGCAGTTGATCACGTGTTTACACAATCCAGAAGCAAGCAGGGGGGGATGCTGACATAGATTGAGGCCTTCATCATGGACAAAAATACTCTTTAATACATGCACACACACGAACACACACACGCAATGCTGCCAGAAGTGAAGGTTCAATGTAAAGTGAGATTAAGGTCATACTCAAGACAGGTGGTGACATCTGGTCATTAGGAGCCAACAACATCAATGACTGCCCTGACCTCACATGACCAGAGAGTGTTGTATCATGTCATGCTATCAGGTAAAATTGTCTTATTAAGTCTTTGTCAAATTTTTTGTTGAATGGAGGTAACTTATTGCTTTTATAGTTATGATCAAGTACAGTACATATTAGTTCATACAGGTAAACAACAATTTACAATGGAGTTACCTTCCTGAAAACCCCATCACAAATATTGTAAACCAACTTCATTATAACATGGGGTTAAATGTAATACGTTCTCAGCCAGTCCGACACAAACATGTTTAAAAAATCAATAATTATACACTATTAAAATACTGTAAATATAAAACAATTAAACAACGCCCACCATATCATTATGAATAAGCCTGATCACTTCATAATGTCAACCTTCACCTCCAGAGATGCAGTTTTCCTGAGTGCCTTGGCCTTCACAGCAAAAGCACTTCAGAATCACAGTAAACATGAGGAATAAATAATAATAATAATAAATAAAATAAAAAATACTGCGTTGGCATTTTGAAATCGTTTCAGGAGACACTAGACAGAATATGATATATTCCCCATGGCTGCCCCCCCTCCTACTCTGCTCTGTGGGCTAACTCCAGTGCACTAAGAAATGTTTATTCCCATTATGTTTTTGACCTTATGATAATTATTCTGTTTTTTTTTTGTTTTTTTACATTCTGTACGTGTGCATGTAAGAGTTAAAGAAGCAAACAATATGTGTACCTACCCGAAACAATGAGTTGAAAAAGAACAATAACACAGCTCACAACCTTGGCCTGGTAGGGAGAGGCTGAGAGTCCCAACACAACCCCCTCCCACTCCCCTTTCCCTCCCATAATCTGAAACCAACTCCTGCAGATTTAAGAAATTTTTATTCTCTTAGTTTTATATCATTTGATAATGATTATTATTTTTTTAGTACATTCTGTATGAATGATTGTGTGTGTGTAAGTAAAGAGTGTAAAAAAAAATTATGTACTGTACAGTTTATCTATCTAAAATTATGAGTTGAACAATAACATAGCTCACAGCCAAGCCTCACCTGCTCTGAGTGCTACTGGGTGGCAAGTGGGAGACTCGGCTACACAACTACGTGCCATCGCCACGTTATGCATCACTTAGAGTATTAATTCTAGTTAGCCCTTGTTTATCAATTATTTCGCATGAATGGGTTTTTCAGAAACTCATCCCAATTCTTAAACAAAAGATACCTGTACAGTATTCAGCGTGTCAGCGAGTTTGGCCGGATAAATAGGAAGGTGGTCTTAAAACATCACCATCCTTAAAGCGAAATATAGAAAATAGAGAGATTGTAAATCGAGGTTTACCAGTACAGTACTGTACAGCATATGATAAGATTTGTTCTGTTTCAGTAAGGAAAGTATCTGTTAATAATTATCCGAACCTCCCTAAATAGAGGCCAGTTTGAATTTTGCAGTTATTCCTATTTAGTGTAATGTACAGCACATATATTTAAAGGCTAACAAAATGACTTACTGAGAGAGCTGCCATAGTCAATAGTGGCATGATAAGGGGTTCACTACAGTATCAATCTCGCCGCACTTTGCGTGATGGTCGTGTCCGTGCTTGCTTCAGCTCTTCTACTGACGGGCTCACCTCTTGCTGCTTCCCCAGAAGTTCACGAATAAAACTGAATTTTGAAAGGAAACACTTCCACACCATATACCAGCCTGTAAATATAATATATTATATCACCAACAGCTACAGTGTAAATGATGGACTGAACAACATGGCATAGTGTTTAACTTGGTAGTACAGTATTATACAACAATTGTGTACATGAACCAACAACAACTTTGGGATATTTCTCTCTAGACAATAAATATTTCCTTACATTATACAAGGCAGAAAAGTGGACGAGTAAAATATATCTCTGGTAATAATTAGCATTCCTACAACTTTTCCATCCCAAACACTGGTCTATGGGCGGGAGATGTGAGGTCCAACACCACTGATCCCATGTTCAGCTACATCAAAACTATTTCATGGGTTCATTTCATTGAATGGAAATTTTTTTATACATAATTATATTATTTTAAATTAAGCTAGGTTAGGTTAGGTTAGGCTAGGGTTGGTTAGGTTAGGCTAGGTTAGGTAGATTAGGTTAGGTTAGGTAGGTTAGGTAGATTAGGTTAGGTAGGTTAGGTTAGGTAGATTAGGTTAGGTAGATTATGTTTGGTTAGGCTACATAAATTAGGTACCTGGTTGGTTAATTTTATTAACGAAAATTCCTAGAAAAACTTGGTGTATGATTCCACCAATTAGCTGTTCATAGCAACTGCTGATCTATACACACAACCTCAATGATGTAAGTAAAATACTAGTTATCGACTTGATCCTGTCTATTAACCCTTTGGATGCGACATGCGGGTAAACCCGCCCAAAATATTATATTAATTAAATGCGACAAGCGGGGATATCCCACGGCCTTGAAAAAACTTCCCCAAATGAGACGACATGCGGACATATTATGTATTGAGGTATAGGAGTATTTCCTGAATGCAATATAGCTTATTTTTGTACTATTTTGTTTGATATTATCTGAATATGTAATACATATCTAAATTTGCTGTTTAGTAACCAAATTGATTAAATTTATTTGCCATATACCAGACATTGATTTATACCAATTTCCTGCATTTTTGGGTATAAATGTCATTTTTTCTCTAAAATTTGCACACATATGTGAATTTTTGTTCCAGATTTGGAAAATATACTAAAAGTTCTCTAGGAAAAACATATAGAAAATGTGATTATATGAAATTCATTTTTGGCAGGATAATTGACACTTTTCAGGAACCGGCGCGAAATTTAATTACGCACCTAAAGAGTTAAGGAACCAGGCAAACCTATGAGAACCTAGCCTAAACTAACCTAGGAAAGTCCTATTCCTATAAAAATAATGACTTTCTTTAACTGATGGCAAAGAAAAAGGTGGTTATCTTCTCGTGTTTGCTTGTTTTCATTGTTCAGGCCATGTAGGAGTTGTACACTCGAATGAACACAAACAGTACTGATAGATAACTTTTTTTGCACATACATAAATCTTACAAGATCTTTTAACTGTCTTCTGATTGGTCAAAGCAGACCATGCGAAATTCACGTGAAACAGCTTTGAATATAATATCCTGTGAAGATGTGTTGAGCAAACTTAAATTTTGTTAATATTGTCGTGTCTTGGTTATGTATAAATCAGGTCTACTAAATGTAAACAAGTTTCACAGCGTACGAAGCCAAGTCCACAGAAACGGTGACTGCTTGTACATTGGATAAATAAGGTAATAATTTTGTTGATATAAGTTTTAATATAGGTTAGGTTGGGCTGTCAAAGGTTTTATTAGTGTTTTTTTGGTAATGGTGGAGACGGTTCACACCAGAAGCACTTTATGAGTTACACCGAGTTTTCAGAAGCTGTTGTTTGGATGACACCGAGTAATAAAATCAAAACGTAATTTTATTTTTATTTTTTTTATAGCTTATCCTCCAGTCATAAATTACTTGCTACTGGGCAGAGCATGAATGAAGAGGGAAATAACGAGGTAAAAACACTGTAAACACTGATCATATGGCAGTAAATTCACGTCTACACGTTTCGTAGATGAAGAAATAAATTATTTACTTAATTATGGTGCTGTCGGATATCCCGTGACGACCATGTTTTGGGTCACATTGTCTGCTATAAGGGAGAGTCCACAGTCTTTGTGTACCTGTCAAGAAATGAATGACAATCTTATCAGTGGTGTTTATTACGACTTATAGTGGATTAAATTGATTTCTTCTTGAGATGTTGTTTGGATGACAGGAAGAAAATTGAAATGACAAAGCACAGATTAGGAAGTTAGGTATAGGTTAAGTAAAGTAAAGTAAGTTAAGGTTAGATTAGGTAAGGTTAGGTAAGGTTAGGGTAGGTTAGGTTAGGGTAGGTTAGGTTAGGGTAGGTTAGGTTAGGTTAGGTTAGGTAAGGTTAGGTTAGGTTAGGTTAGGTTAGGTAGGTAAGGTCAGATTCTAATAGGTTCTGTGCATTGTCATTTCGATTTTCTTAGTATCATCCAAAAAACATCTGATAATTTGGTGCAATTCCATAAATCCCTCTGGTGCTAACCGTCTCCTTCACCATTATGTTCTATTCCCTCATCTTCAAAGTGTTAAAAGGTTCATATCACAATACATAAGCCTTAGCCCCAAAAATAAAGATCATTCCTTAAAATACCAGCAAAACACATAACAAACACTACTATTTCACTAATAAAAAAAAAAGAATTGTGCATGAAAGGAATCTTCACCCACGTGTGCTTAAGAGACACATTTAACCACAGCTCAGAGTGTATGTACCACACCAAGAGACCCCCAAAGTGTAGGAGTGTGGTACAGTACTCGGCGGCTACCACAGTACAACTCACCACACGCGATGAAGAACACAATGAGGAGGATGAAGGCCAACACAGACACCCAGCTTATAATCAGTTCTTTAATCTCCATCTTGTCCTCCTAACACAGACATATGTGATCACTTTCTTTTCCTTGTTCCACCACCACACAACAACAGCCTGAGGGCCGTTCGTCTGCCGGATTACAAGTGAGTATTATCATTTAACAATATTGTTCTTTTAGCTATTATGTCATCCCATAACAACAGGATTATTTCTCTCATAGGCATTATAATAAATATATACTTAAATGGCTTGTAATTTATAAAAAAAATCTTAAATATTTTAAATATATTAGTACAATCCATTCATCACTATGGCGTTTTTAATTCCTAAAAGATGCGGTGCGGGTCCCTCGTCCTCAGGCTTTGTGTGAAATATAACAAAGTCTAGTACTGCTTTTAGTATCCTGGTGGTCCATCGGTTAGCGTTCACGGTCACAGTCATAGGTTTACGTGCCGTTCGAATCCTGGCGGGTTGAGGTGTTGATTGTATGTAGAAGTCCGCGTGCTTTATTGGGCTAATGAAATATATATATAACTTTTTTGATGGAGGGGATATTTATTTATTAAAAAAAAAATCAGAATTTATTGGAAAAATTTCCCCCCCCCCAAATTTTAGGACAAATTTATTTAAAAAAGGGCAAAGTTTAACCTCCCCCTCCCCCAAAAAAAAATAAATCACCCTAAAAAAATTGGGGGGAGGGGGGGGAAATTTTCTCTCAATTTATTTTCAGAATTTTGTACACCTTTAATTATTTTTAATTTGGTCCTTAATTAAACCCCCCAAAATCTAAAATTTGCCCATTTCTTCAAAAAATTTCCCTGATATTTTAATTTTGCCCCCAATTATTGTTGTCCATTATTTTGCACCAATTTTTTTTTAAATTTAAAATGTGTCCTATTTTCCCCAAATCTTTTTTTAATTTCCCAAATTGTAGTTTTTAAGGCATTGTAGTGGTTTACGCCCGTATTATTAAACAGCATCTACCCTTGAAGATAGTCTTCGTGTCGAAAACCGTATTTATAAATATGAAGGACCCTTTACCGCAACGCACAAAGGCGTGTGATGGCAGGAAAATGAATTAACATTACTGAAATTTGAAGAGGTAGCTAGTAGCTGCTTTTTGTCACCCTCTTCATAAAGATCGGCTCGCTAGCAGCCCGGGCGATCGGTCACGTCTGTCACGCACTGTTGGCAGGTACTGGGCATGCACCGGCTCCTGAATGTACCTGAACCCGCTCCAGTGTTGGTCAAGTCTTGTCTTGAAAGAGCTCACACTCGGTGCCGTCAATCTTGAGCTGTGACCCCTTGTGGGGCGAGCGTCCGCCAGCTCCAAGTAAGGACACTCGACTGAGTAGTGCCCTCTGAGATGCTTATACACCTCAACTAGGTCCCCCCTTGCCCGTCTGCAGTATAAGCTAGGCAAGTTCAGGCGCTCCAATCTCTCAGGGTAGCTGAGGTGCTGAAGTGCAGGCACCAGTCTGGTGGCCCTCCTTTGAACATTTTCAACCAACTGAGAGTCCCTAGCATATCTCGGGGACCAGATGGGGTGACAGTACTCCAGATGGGGAAGCACTTCACTCTTGAAGATCGTTACGAGGGACGGACCGTCTATATATCTAAACGACCTTCTCATAAGACCCAATAATTTATTTGCCTGATTTACCTTCTTCTCGCAATGGCCTGAGAACTTCAGCTCATTGTCAACATACACACCTAGGTCCTTCTCACATTCAGTCTCAAATAGTGCAGTTTCTTCATCCTGTTGGGACATATGATACGCCTCCCTATCGTTGGTACGCCCCAGGTGCATCCTCTTTACATTATTCACATTATTTAACTTTATTCTCTTTGCCACTGATCGGCTTGTTAGCCTCGCTGGGCAGTCGGTACTGTCGGTCACGGACTCACGTTTATGCACCGTTGGCAAGAGCAGTTGGACATGGGTGAATATATGGGTAATATAAGATGAGGCCAAATCTACAGATGAAGTACCAGTAAACTTGGTTACAGTATTAACATTGTTTGCTATTTATTTATTTCTAATTGACTTAACCATAATTAAGATCATCCATTACCAGGAGATGGCTAGTGATTAAGTGTTGTATTTTAAGGATCCCATATTCCTGTTGTTCAAATAATTATAGTTTGGTGATCTTTAAAAGCATCCAATAATGTGTGTGTCTCTTTCCATCAGTTTCATTTTACACCACTTTGACTCTTAAAAATCTTTCCCCCATTGCACCATCACTTGACTTGATCTAAAGTCCTTTCTTGAATGAATAACCACACCCCATTTACAGCATTGTATTTATTTATAATTTCCACCACTTCTAGCTATTTCAGTGGTCGGTCTGTTCTTTGTTACCACCTCTTGTTCAGTGTTAGTACAGGAGGAAACCAGAATACTGTACCTGGAGAAAACCTGCCATATTTGGTAGGGTCACACCGAGTATCACCCTTCTCACATCTGACCTGGGGGCTTGGTCCTGTGACTGCAGTGGTGAGAGGCAAGTGCCATCAATAGTACAGTTGCTCTCATTCATGCAGATGTATTGGCTTCATGGATCTTATGTAGGGGTTCAATCACGTTTTCTTGTTGAGGAATGTGTCAGTTGTACCTGTAAATAACTTTTAAACCTGATTAAGTATATAGTAATACCTCTAGACTTTCAACAAACATGAATCTGTCACATGATCAACAGCTAAGTCAATACGGTACTGTACAAAACTGCAGACATAATTGGTTTGCATAATTTTAATCAGATCTGTCTCACCTCAGCTCTAAATGAACTCTCAAGATCATCTTTTCTTGTTTGGATGTTATTCATGTGAACTAGTTAAAATATAAATCATTCAGTTATATGTTCAGCTTATGAGGAACATTTATCAAACAGTACTAACCGTTTAAGATCCAGATTCAGGCCAGCCAATTTTCACTTGTTCCCTGAGACACTGGCAGCTCCTCTACCTGTTTATTTCTGGTGGCTGGAATCTTGGTCTTGTGGGATCATATGGTGAGTTTCTCTAGTGATTCTACCAAGATTAAATCGTTAAATAAAACATATCATGACTCACTGATGTAGGCTACAACATTAACGAGTCTCCAGCTGTGGATAAACTCTCATAATTTACGTAAAAACCCTCGTAAGATGATAACAAAATTGAAAGTGTGTAAAGTCAGCATTACACTACAGTAGTAGACTAAAAAAAGTCTATAAAAACCCACAGATTATTTCTTATACTCTTCCCCCCTTCTTTGAGGTTTCTGTAAATTTTGAAGTATCCAATACAAAGGAGGAAGAGAAATAAAGATAACAATAGTTTTGGTAATGAAACAAGGAAATGGTTTGTTAGCTATATTTCATTACTCATTTTACAGAATCTACCTTTTTTAAAGCTTTCTTTAGACCAGGTTGGACAAATCTGGCTCTCCTACCATACCCTCAGCATTACTGGACCTCATGACACAATGCTTTGCCTCACAAATAATAACAGCACTTGGCCCTATTACCTTGTAACAGGTTTGCCTCCCTAGTATAAACAGATACATCTTTGAGGCTTTGTTCAACTAGTCACAACTCTTTTGAGAAATGGTCCATTGCATATTTTAGCTTCATACATGACAATCGTCTTAAAAATACCTAAACCATATTAATTTTATATTCTATGTATTATACAAGTTTACATTAGCTGCCCCATCTGACTCTGTGATGTGTGGAGTAACAGTCGGAAATCTCATGTCCCGGGACTTTCTTTTTGGTTACGAGTTTGTTTTGAGGCACTTCCTAGTTTATATATATTGCATAAGAGTTCAACAAGGACATTAACCCAGGCTAGTGGTGGAACTTGCATAGAGTGTATTAATATCTTACATCAAAACATATCTCTTTCCTAATGTGAAAATGCAATGTATAAGCTTTCTGATGCTAATTATACAGTTTTTATGGTTACATCCGGGTGTTAATCTGTAAGATGGAAGGCAGTACTTTAAATTATTTTTCTTTTTAATGTTATTACTGTACCAGAATACTTTAAATCTGATTTTGTCATAAGTTTAAAAATAATACTTTTCACACTAGTTTCAAAATGACATCTCTCAAAGTATAAAAGTTATGCACAATGAAATCTGTACTTGTGCACAACCATCTTCATGATCATCGTCCAGCTGCTGTGTCAGGACAACGTAGCACCACTTTTGGGTCATTTGTAGCTAAGTGTGAATTTGTCATACTAGTTATACATATATATATACTTGTTAACTGGATGGCATTATTATTCTACACCTACTGTAGTAAATTAATCAAATTGAAATAAAACAAAGATTTGGTCCTTCTGAGTCCAAGATCATGCATTACTTAAATAATTAATTAACATCATTGACTCAACATATTAAAAATAACAATAACTTTCATCTGTTCCATCTTAAAACATCTTCGAGGAACTAAGTCAGAAGAAGTATGGGTTTTGCCTCTATGTTGACAGTGGATCAACCAACCAAGTTTCACAAGGAAGTTACTCTGTGCCCAAGTTATTTTACACAGTATTTTCCCAAGCATAAGATGTTAGGTATCTCAGCTGCCTTTTGGTTATATGTTGTGTTGCTCATTTTAATTGATGCCTCAGTTTATTAGCTCATGTACTGTGTATCACATTTAAAGATTTTATCTGTCAGCATCCAAAGAGAAAGATGAATTTTGTTGTAATATATTGTCTGTACAAGTACACGAGACACATTTTCAATTAACCGTTAAGGTGTTCAATGAGAGAGTCATGAGAAGTTTTTTATTATGACAAAAATGTTGAACCTGTGGCAGCAAATTTGACTTGTACTTCCTAATGTTTGATTGGTTGATGGTCTCCAGGATCCAACAACCTGTAATTAATTGGTTAATGGCAACCTTATTATGCCTTGTAGCTTGCAAGTGGTTATTATTTGGTTAATATTGCACAGTGCAGTTCTCTAGAAAGTTCCACCCTTAGTATAAATACTGTACTTTAACTTTTAAGTAATTTTTAGAGCCAACTTGTTTATAAATATTTCCATTAGTTTTAGGAAGACATTACGTAATTCACATAAAAATACAATTGAAAAACTTTATATAGATGGGCGCAAAATATTGGAAATGTGATGACATATTCCCACGGCTGCTTACATGTGGTTATCAAGTGACAGATGTTGAGGAGCATCAACACCTTAAAAGACCATGAGACAGCTAACTGTGTACTGTACTGTACCAGATAATATCACTAGCTTTAATAGTATAGTAAAGTTAGAGGGTATAGCAACTTTTGTCTAACTTAAACTGGGTATGATTATTATTACAATTAGGATACTCTTTACAAACTCATCTCTTAACTTTTTAACACCATAACTTACTTATAATATACTTCACTCTTACAGAACATACTTATTTAGCAAATATTTAACTAAAGCCAACAGGTTATTCCTATCAAAATTGGACAATGCAATAACAAATGACTTCCACTTTAGATTCATTATTATTATTATTATTATTATTAATATTATTATTATAATGCAGTTTGTCACAATACAAACTTGTCAATGTCAAGCAACGACTTATCTACACAACAAAAGACTCTACCCATCAAAAGGCCATGAAACTCTTGATTGAATATATCCCTTTAAGATATGAACGGTGGATACAACAAGCAAGACTCCACGTGTAGGGTAGACTACCGGAAATGGAACAGTTGGCGGCTTAAGTATCCTCTGTGGTGCATAGTGACGTTTCTCAAATACTAACAAAATAACACAGTGTGTACTACAGCAGCAGCCACTTAGAGTTAACAATCCCTTACAATTAATTATCATCAATTTATAGAGTTTAGAGTAAGTGTTAAGCTAATTATAGTTTGTTGTTACACATAATTTTTATTTTTTCTAGAAGATTTAGACAGAGGTTGAGCCCACCAAACAGCCCCTTCTGTGTGGGCTTGTCAATAATATTACCTAAAATCAACAGTCGGGGGAGAAACAGACCCACAAACAAGGATAACGGAGTAAATACGCTACATCTTGACTTAACTAAAGAAAATAAACCTGTACATCATAATTCTTTCTATATACAGTCAACATGGCCGCATACCACCGGCGACTAACTCAAGTTCACAAGCGATAACAAGAACATAATATTGCTTCAGGCTAACCTTACAGTTCCTTCATATTGCAAGGAAGACGAGCATTGCATTTGCAAAGTGACATTCTGAGTGAGGAGAGTTTTGGCATGTGATAAGTTAAGGTTTTCCATTTGTGCTGCAGGATTATACTCACTGTGCCCTGCAGGGGGAAAGGGGAAGGTAGAGAAACTCATCACAGTCCAGTTTGACCTCAAAATAGAGAATCACTTAACAGATTTGGCGGACGGGCAGCACTGCCGAGTCATTTCCTTCTAACGCCTCACAACAGCTGACAGCAAAATGTAGCCACATTCATCACATTTCAAACAATGTCACCGTACAGTAACAGTATATGAGTAAAACCCCTGAATGATTTCATATTTAACAAATTGTTTTCTGACACTCCAAGAGCATCATCCAATGTGTGATATTATTGACTGAGGCTAAGACTAGCAAGATGGTGGATCACAACACAGAGGTGTTATACCCGATGTACATCAACCAGAGGCATCATACCAGGTGTATGTCAACCAGAGGCATCATACCTGGTGTATGTCAGCCAGAGGCATCATACTTGGTGTATGTCAGCCAGAGGCATCATACCAGGTGTATGTCAACCAGAGGCATCATACCAGGTGTATGTCAACCAGAGGCATCATACCAGGTGTATGTCAACCAGAGGCATCATACTTGGTGTATGTCAGCCAGAGGCATCATACCAGGTGTATGTCAACCAGAGGCATCATACTTGGTGTATGTCAGCCAGAGGCATCATACTTGGTGTATGTCACCAGAGGCATCATACTTGGTGTATGTCAGCCAGAGGCATCATACTAGGTGTATGTCAGCCAGAGGCATCATACTTGGTGTATGTCAACCAGAGGCATCATACTTGGTGTATGTCAACCAGAGGCATCATACTTGGTGTATGTCAGCCAGAGGCATCATACTTGGTGTATGTCAGCCAGAGGCATCATACTTGGTGTATGTCAGCCAGAGGCATCATACTTGGTGTATGTCAGCCAGAGGCATCATACTTGGTGTATGTCAGCCAGAGGCATCATACTTGGTGTATGTCAGCCAGAGGCATCATACTTGGTGTATGTCAGCCAATACAAATCTTTATTGCAGAGTTGCTCATCTATCAGCTGTTGGGAGCCAGATAGGAGAGAAGCCTCAGGCATGCTACAGTAGCTAGAACCTTTAACGTTGCATAGCTAGGTACATACGTACTGTAGTAGGTAAAAAATTAGTACGCAAAACATTTGGATGTCTACGTTACAAATGGATCTATAAATACTATAAAAACATTTCTTTCAAAGGAGGCAACTTGCATCCCAGTGTGAAGCCTTATATACAGTGCTGTTGAGCGGTATTGTGAACTATTATTATTTAGTATTTTCCCTAACTTAACCACAGGAACACAAACACTATCAAACCTTCCCTTATTGTCATCAACAATAGAACACTTTATCACTAGCTTATTATTGCTATCCATCTCTACTAGTTGTTTGTTGTGACCATTTTGATTGGCAAAGTAACAGCTATTTTGGCAAAAATTTTTTTACATCTTTGTACGTGTCACCACATAATGGGTCGGCCAGCACACGACAGTCGCCTCTCTTGGCTGCACTGTTACCTGGGCATTATTCATAAAAAAGAAATTTAGAAGAAAATAAAATCATTCTCAAGACCTCTGTTTCACAAGACCATGTTGTGCCAGCAGCCATTAATTCTTTGAGACCAGTGTAAAATATCTTGAGTTCGTTGTAAAATTGCATAGAAAACTACTTCAAAACATTTCCATTGCTTTCACCAAAGACTGAGATTCCATGAATTCTTACAATACATCAAAATGTCATTATTACATGCACTATATATTACAATGAGTATTCATTATGTCATAAAGGACCTCATGCAGAATGAGTTTGTGCCCAACATCTGCAGTTCATTATATGCATGCAGCAGAAAATGTGTCCACTATGGGTGTGATACATAACTGTACAGTTTTGTCACAACGAGCGTGTGTGTGTGTGTGCGTGTGTGTGTGTGTGTGTTGTTGTTAGGTAGTGTAATATAAACTATGATGTTAAGCTTTGGCAGGGAAACCACAACCACCAGAGTTTTATCAGGAGTGACAACAGTGACACAGAAAATGAATAATAAAAATATAAAGGGTTCAGACACAACAAATAATAAACTTTTTAAATTATATAAGAGAAATATGATACAATAGAAAACAAGAGGCAGCTATAAACAATGGAGTAAAATACAATATATTACTCTTCACAATCATAACACATTTCTACCCATAGTGAGCTCTGACCACTGTGGTAAGAGTAACAGTGTGCACAACAAAACACCCATAACATCACCAAACACTGAGCAGCAGTTGGTATGAAACACACACATGTTGCACCACAGTTTCCTCCAGTTGTCAGTACAGCTCTGGCACTGGAAGAGATCTCAACAATTGGCCAAACATTAATACAGAGCTCTGACAGTGGAAGGGGCAGAACACAACAGCATAATAGCCTTAAGTTTGTATTGCTATAGTTGCATATCTATAGTAACAAAATTTCTGTACAATTCATGTGCTTATATTTCTTTGAAGAGGTAGCTTCTTGCTGGGTATAGACAAAAATTGACCACCATATTGTCCATATAACAGGCTAATATTGCAAAATGTGGCTGCATATTCATATTGTGACCAAACATGACTAGGCTCGATGAGTATATATGCCCTTTAGTGCATCACTACTGATCACACATGATGTCCAGATAAATATTACTGATCACATGGCTAGGCTCTTACTGACCACATGGCTAGGCTCTTACTGACCACATGGCTAGGCTCTTACTGACCACATGGCTAGGCTCTTACTGACCACATGGTTAGGCTCTTACTGACCACATGGCTAGGCTCTACATGTACTAAATATTATGTAATGTATTATAACAAATAATAAGTATTATTCAGACAGGTGTAAAGTGTCTGGAGAATTTTGAACTGTCATTCATCTTGTACATCAATAACATGACATTACATGAATCTAGTTTTTGGTAAAATTCATAGATAAAGATTTAATTACAGTTGTGGAAGATGTATTTATGAGGGTACTTCATGAACCAAGCTTCTTGTGAGGGCAACTTGCACGGTACTATCATTTACACTGCAAAACAACTTTTCAGTTTATTTTATTGTTCTGGACTTTAAATCCAATATTTGCAAGTTTTCCCTTAACCCAAGATTAAGTGAGAGGTACTACATCAGCAGTCCCCTCACAGCCAATGGGAGACAATATGAAGGTGTGTTAACTCACAATCTTATGTTAGAAAAATTTATCTTGGGACTTGGCTGAAAATTTGAGCATGTCATATTTTAAGCCTTACTTTAGTGGCATCATGATCTTACTACACGAGGGAATAAAAACAAGGGCTAAAACCACACTTAAACTGTGCCACACACAATGACCAAAGTCACATACAGTTCCCTGACTTATGACAACAGTGACAAGGTTTAATCATGTACCTTGGCAAGCAATGAAGCCAAGAAATTGGTGCAGAACTGCTGCTATAAAAAAAGAAAAAAGAAGATAAAATCAGAGCTCATGTGAAGTGCAAAGAAGATGGTGTGACTGTGAGGACAACCCGAAATAACTTAAAACTTTACATGCAATTATTATACTCTTTTAAAATTTCATCGAGCAAGTAAAGGAACAGTAGTACCTGGCCATGTTACATGGTATATATATATATATATATATATATATATATATATATATATATATATATATATATATATATATATATATATATATATATATATATATATATATATATATATATATATATATATATATAAAAGATTACCAAATATTCCTTGGTGAATGGTAAAGACATTGGCTAACAGCAGGAAGACATTTATCTGTAAGACACCAAATCATTATCATTCTCCAGTCAATGTTGTGAGGAATGGGACGGTTGCACATACTGTACTGGTAAACAAATACTCAGCCATGTCAATGTTTGGTCTACAAATATACCAGGACTTGTCTGGGAGTAAAATAAAGCAACTAGAGTCCTCTATTTACACATTTGTAAGGATGAATATCTTAACCACCATCTAATAACTATTATGATGTTCTTATTCCTTAAACAGTTAGTTCACCTTCAGACACAGGATGGATACATAACTAAACCATACATTATTATTCATACTTTCTAAATATATTAGTATACAAAATTACTCTTATATAGCAGATGTTATAATATAATGCACCATACCACCATAACCTGAATCAAAGCCTTCTCTTGAAGGTATTAAATATTATGCAATAAATGAAACACTGGGCAAGTATTTATACTCTGTCTAAGGCTCAGAAAGACTCATCATACATGACAAAGTGGCCAGCAATAACAAGACTTGAAGATGATCTCAATGAGTTTGACATTTTACTTTGTAAAACTTTATTGATGCATCATCTACACTCACTCTGCTGCCCACATCACATTATTCACACTAATTTGATTAAGAGGTAATTAAATTATTCTGCAACTTTCAAGTCTTAGTCCATTTGGCTAGTTGTGGATGCCCAGAAGACAGTGAGGATGCTTCTGTGAGAATTATTAAATTTGGGGCTTTGGCATTTACTATGGATGAAATGGTTAATGTGAAAGACCTCTTTTAATTTGTATAATCAAAAAGATGAAATGAAATTGAAATACTGGTTTTCCTTCAATAATTACCACAAAGGCAAACCTCTTTTGCAAGAATCTCATGTGCTTGCGCTTAAAACTACGAAGGCTACAGTTCTAATTCTGTGAAGCAGAGCATGTGCTTGTAACACCAAACTGAGAAAACTAATGCTATATACTATTTTGAATGTTTCCAAAAGAGTATATGCAATACATTCGCTTTCAGACTTAGATACTGCAAGCATTGTTTGTGCTACACAAAATTGTTGAACGTTTGCCAAAGACACTATCTACTAACTGTGGCTCTGTAAAAATTGCCTATCTACGCGCAGGAAGTCATGGTTCTACAACTCTACGATTACCTGATGTATCACAGCATGCGTACATCTAAACACTAGCAGGCATCACTCTAGGCACGGAACTAGAACACGCAGAGCTACACAACTGTGGCGGCGGCACCCAGTGTTTGCATAATTTACAGTAACCAAGTTCTCCCTGCTAACTGAAGACCCTCCTATGTAGAAAAACGTCTTTCTTCTTCAGTAGTAACGATCATTATTGGACAAAGCACCACATTTAAATTGCAACTTTCCTCTACATACGAGACAATTCATATTAACCACCTGAACTTGGCTCTAGTTTAAGAATTTGTGGTACACCCCCTAGCATTTTGGACATGGTTTTGGCACATGAATTTGAGCTATCCCTAACTCACAGCCAGAGTGACTAGGACGTGGAACCTTTAGTGCTCTGGGCCGTGGATAGACACTGAAGCCTTCCTCACACTCACTATTCCCTTAACCAATACATCTATGGCACCAGAAATGAGGTTATTTACACTAATAGCACATTTACAATTCAGTATTGCTATGTTATTTATAATCTACAAGGCAAGGCTTCAGAGAAGTTTTGTTACGAAAGTAGCTCAGGTAATATAGGTCAAATCTTGCACAGTATTTTTAGTGTCATTCACCTGTAAATTTTATCACCCAATACACACTAAATTGACAAAACCATTTTTCAAAAGTGAATCGTAGTGACAAACAGGAGTGCCGGTTCTGTAACTAAATATTATTAACAAAGCCCGAGGCACCTTATTCCACTAAAAAGTATACTTGACAGGTGTGAGGGCCATAGTTACAGAGGCATCAAATGCATGTAACACAAAGCTTCAACACCTGTCACAAACATTCCATTTGGGTTATAAACATGAAAATTACTCTGATTTTGACAGTGGACAAGATTCAAGTACCTTAACAGCCCTTGAATACAATGCTCAAGATTTGGGTACTTGCAAGCTAGTTATCCAAAAACATGAAATGACTTCACTCCTAACAAACCAGAATTGAAAGTTTATCATACCTATGTGAATGACAACCCTGCACATTGCATAAGTTTGTACCCCTAGAATGACCACCTTCTGAGTAGTGAATGATTTTGTACTCCTTTGAATGACCTGAGCACAAGTTCACTCTGTACCCCATGAATGACCTTCTGAGCACTGTGTAACTCTGCACCCTTAGAATGATCTCTTCTGGAGTACACTTTAACTCTGCATCTCCTTGAAGAAATCTCAGCTGTGCACGAAGTAACTTGGTACTCTTCAGAAAAAAGGCCTTTTCTGAACACATCTGAACTTGGTCCACCTGGCATGAGCTCACAGCAGAATACTTCATCTGATCCCATTAGGTTAACTAGATACAGATGTAAAATAAATGGGAAGAACTCTTCTGATACTAAAAATGCACAACCATGAACTCTACTCACTTTGCAAAAAGCTATTAAGCACTTACATTACTTATTGCATGTTGCTTTGCTGGCACTGTGATTCATTTAATAGATGTCTGGTGTCCACTTCATACTTCACTTACACTATGCTGGCTATGAAACCTAAAATCATGCATGAGCTTTGCCATGCAGACCTAGGACAAGTGTGCCTAGTATAGATGCAAGTCTACGAAGGATAAATTGACAGCAAGATAAAGGAATATTTTTCCAGTATTTGTCCTGAAGTATTTCATTTTGGTTTATATTTGGCACATGAATCTTTTTTGTCTTCAGTTTAACACTTCTAATTTTTCAGATAATTTCACATGGTTTTCATCAACACCATCTGCCACCAGCTTGTATCTGACCCAACTGTTCCCAAGATGAGAGATGACCCACTCAGCTATTATCTGGCCTGGTTATGAGGACTGTGTCTTGGTGGGTGTGTGAGGGGCACCCGGGTGACCCCCTGGACTGGTGTCTAGGGCAGGTGGTGGACCCGTACCTGCTGATGATGCTGCCTGCGGTCCTCCAGTTGCTGCGGCAGCCGCTGCATCTCCACTGTGAACTACTGTTGTAAAGTACCGCTCTGCAAAAAATTTTGAAAGTTCAATGTAATATTTACAAACAAGTCATCAACTGCTTCTATCTATGGATGAATGAAACCTCTTGTGCATGAGAATTGTTTAACTTTGAGCCTGACACAGATAAACCATCACCTTACATCTCCTCCTGCCCTGGTCCATCACCTTACATCTCCTCCTGCCCTGGTCCATCATCTGGTGATAAGTGTACAATACAGTACTATCATTTCAATGAATTTCAATGTGGTTTATATTATATTTCAACAATGATCAAGTGCACTTAATGGTGTTATTCTTCTGCTGTAGCTTAATACTGTACAGCGAGAGTGTGCCTTAAAGGTGTTTCTTCTGCTAGACCAACTTTCCGAACTTTGAAGAATGGTGATAACTATAATATCACCTAAAAAACATATGACTAATTATACTGTACATTAAAAGGAATGTAATTGGGTATGAGTTGGCCTGTGGCAGAATAATCCACTTGACAACCAAGCACCTTATATATGACGTCAAGGTTGCCAAGAGCCACAAAAGTTAAATGTTGGGAACTTTTGTGTTTTTTAACCACTTGTGTATGGGTTCCTATCTGCTGAATAAATTGGTCTGGCATTGGCCAAATAAAATATTAAAAATAGTATCTATGTAGTGAAGAGATTAGATATAACAAAACATAATATTGTTGTATGTTATTTTATCTTCTTTGTTTTTTGCAAGACATTCATATAAAAATAATTCAGAAGACAATGATACAATATTGGAACCAAGTGTGAAACAACCAGAGATGCCCCCTCCCGTCTCCCTCCTTAATTCATTACAATGGTTACATCTCTACACATAAACACATCACACTGAAGGTGACATAGACACGGGGGCCTTAACCAGTTCTTCCTCTACAGCTGACCACTGATATTATTTGATGTCTTAGGATCTTAACAATAATGTACCATAACTATAGAAAACTATACTGTATTATTTTTAATTTTCAGCTTATTAGAAGAAATAGCTTCTGGACAAGATGCCAAAACCATAACATAAACCATTCAAAAATATTATGAAAATCCTAAAACACAGAGACACAGTTAACTTAGTGATGATAATTAATAAATAACAAACTTTAAGACATTGTATATTAAATAAAATGACAGAGAGAGAGAGAGAGAGAGAGAGATGATGAGACAAGCAGCTGTTTTGGGAGAATCATTTTAACTGCAACCATCAGTGGAATGGCTTCCTCCCTAACCTGGGGTCATTATGAGCACCTGTAAGTATAACATGACCTTTGACCTCCAACTGTGACCCTGACCATTAAGGTGAAGACCCCACTGTGGTGAGGTTCATTAAGAGTTGTCTTGTATGTATAATTCACAAGTTATGACTCCAGATAGAGGCATGGAAGAGGGGCAGGAGGCCAAGTGATCCTATAACTCCCACCCACAGGGTTTTATAAAGCAGGTGGGATGATAATAATAACATAAATGGTTGTATTTGCATTAAACGTAACAAACAACATCCTTGTGTGTGTGTGTTTTATCTCTCTAATAGTATGGAGAAATTCTTTTATAAATAATAAATCCCTTATTTGATTTTCACTTATGATGAAACTTGGCAGGAATAGTCATGTAGGTATGATCTTGAATGGGATTACAAGATGGCAGTCTGTGACTTTTAATGACCTAAACATTGACACTACCACAACAATCATTTGTTATTTTGAGTTTATGAACAACATACCATCTTCTATGAGCTGAGCTGAGGTGGCATCAGCTGGTAGTGTGGGCATCAGAGTGGACATGGTGGTGTAGTCCATGTTCTCGTCCAGGTTGATGAAGGGAGTATTCCACCGTGGCACCGGGGGCGTTGACCGGGGCGTGGTGCGGGGTGTGGTGCCGGGGGATGTGAACAGGCTCATACTCGTGGGTGAAATAACTCCCGACATGCCACTTACTGGGCTCATACTTGAGTATGTAAATAGCTGAAAAGAGATAGTTATCATCAACTATGTAAAAAGATTGGAAATGTAACTGCTGAAGAGACTATAACAGTACAGTAATGGTACAGTACAATAACAGTACAGTACAGTTATACAGAACCAACCTGTAGTTCATCAAAAAACACATTGCAATTATAAGAGCTAAAGAAAGACAACATACTGTACTAACCTGTGGCTGGAAGACTTGCTATTGACTAGACATGCATTAAAGAAAACAAAAATCAGCCCTAAATAAATAGATGTCTTCTATATCTACTATGTCTCACCCCTTCAAGCAGCTCCCCTTTGATGGGTGACCAAGCTAGAATAGCCACCAGTCTAACCTAACATTATGTGTCTTCGGTACACTATTAATTCATCCTCTCCTTATGCATCATTCCTCCTTCTACTCCCACAATGCAGGTTGTTCCTTCTACCTGTACATCTGTTAAAGTGTTCCTGTACATCTGTTAGAGTGTTCCTGTACACCACCTTTATTATCCTCTTCATCTGCAGCCTTTTCATGTGTCCACACCATCTCAGGCACCTCTCTTCACCCACTCCTACACTTGCCAATTTACACCCTCTGCCTTATCTGCTGTTCCAAACACCTCACAATTTACTAATTCTTTTCCCTTTCATTCAGGTTACTTCATCTAATTCACTTCTGTAGGTTATATTTCAGGGTATCCTACCTCAATCCAAGAAAAGGGTCAATTTTAAAAGTTAAAAATATGCTAGGGACTGTCAGTTGATTGAAAATGTCCAAAGGAGGGCCACCAGACTTGTGCCTGCACTTCGGCACAACAGTTATCCGGGGAGATTAGAGCGCCTACAACAGACAGACAAGGAGTGACCTAATAGAGGTGTATAAACATCTCAAAGGGCACTACTCAGTCGAGTGTCCATACTTGGAATTGGTGGATACCCGCCCCACAAGGGGTCACAGCTCAAGGTTGAAGAAGCCGCAATTCCAGAAAACTGTGAGGGCAAACTTTTTCAGAGTGAGAATTGTGAACTCTTGCCTCTTGAAACAACCTGCCAGAGAGTGTTGTGATGGCACCGAGTGTGAGCTCATTCAAGGCCAGATTTGACCAACACTGGTGCAGGTTCCGACACATTCGGGAGCCAGTTCATGCTCAGTACTTGCCAACAATGAGTAACACAGATGAGCCGACCAGCCAAGCTGCTAACGAGATGATCAGTGGCGAAGAGGATAAAAATAAAAAGTAAAAGTATAGGCATGACTGACTGCCAGGGACACTGTGGATAACTAACTTGTACAGTTAGGAAAGAATCTACAGTTGGCTGGACTGGGAATGCCCTGAGATTGAACCAGCATACTTTAGGACCACTGGCTGAGGACCACCAAGAGGAGGGGTGAGAGTAGTGGGTGTCTGATAAGGGACAACATCACTCCCCACCCCAGCAGGTGAGTAGATGTCTCTTGTAACTAAGTTCCTCACTACAGTACAACACTTAAAATACTGAAAGAAACTCGACCTAAATACAGAGTAAAAATAAAATAGAATGAACCAGTACATTAACACAAACAACAGTACTGAAGAACCTCAGAAATCTAGAAACAAGTTATTTGGAAGTCTCAGAAAAGTCACTACAGTATATTGAAAGTGTTGATACTTATACTGTACACTGAATGGTAACAGGTGTGAGCTGGCTTACTTGTGGCAGTGCTTGTTCTTGATTTTTTGGGGCTTGTACTAAATAAAATTATCAAGCAAGTATTCAGGACCAATTTACAAATCACAATAAGTTTAAAATACATGACTGAAAATTTACTCACCTTATTCTTACAATTCACTGTACTGGGGGGTCCCCGGGTTATGATTGGGTTCCGTTCCTGAGGACATTCTTAAGTCGTATTTGTACGTAAGTCGGAACACATGTTATATACATACCGTACTTACAGAACAATGTCTAAAATCCCACTATATATCATAACCTAGGTTCTTATATACCTCTAAAATCACTTAATTTAAGACAAAAGAAGAAATAAAATGACAAAATACAGTAAATGAAAGTAAAAAATATGTCATCAGGTAAATAAAATACTGTAAATTTCAAGCTCAACCTCATTTATATCAGCGGGTGTTGGTAAGTCAGGGTCCCCTTGTACAGTACAGTACTCCATAGAGGTTTGTATGTTTTAGTTGTAATAGTAGTAGTGGAGGAGGAGGAGAATATTTGGATACTGTATATAGTAAGTTTAAGATATTTATATAAACAATTTCTGCTAAAAATCGATTATTTGAGATTTGGATTCATTCATTAAATGTAAAAATTCATACAAAGGTAAAATTTCAACACAGACAATATTATCGTATACTGTATAATTAAAAATCGAGGAGAATGAAATTAATTCTTCATAAAGGATCAACAAAGTGACCTTACCTTAGCAGTAATTCCCCAAATTCTCCCCAGTCTGATTGATAAGGGAAATATCTACACAGGGTAAATCCCAAGCATCCCAAAACACCCAAATCTTACCTTCCTGTATAAATAATATCTTACACACAGTCACAATAATTCAACTATACAATCCTCTTCACACTTACCTTCCTTCACAACAGCTCCTTCCTACTGATGGCCTTACTCACCAATCAAACAAGTGCTAAATAAAATACAGTTCATTTGAAGCCGATAAAAAACTCCTAAAATAGTGTTGATATAAATTCCTTTGATAGTGACACAGCACGAGGGTGGAGCTGTGTTAACCTTGGCATAAAGCTTAAACCCTACACTTACCACACCTAACATATATCATACACTCCCAGCCTGCCAGGAGGTACAACACTGAACCTGATGTTCCCTATGCCGGGGGTACGTACCTCTTGTGTCATTGCATTCATGTGTCATTATTTCCTCTCATTATTCTCTATTGATAAACAAGAACAGGGTAGTTGTCCAAATTTCCCCTAATTCTATAACTGTTAGACAACTTCTGGAACCTATTTTAAGATTTTTCTCATTCCCTACAGTAAACAGTAGCTTTTTAAAGAGACAAGTAGAATAACCACATCACTTTTAGTATTAATGAAGGTGAATCAGTCTTGACCAGTGTTAATGATTTTCATAAGCCTTTTCATCCATCCAGCCCGTAAATGATGTTTGACTCACATATATAAGATACGTCTCTATAACTGACCATCAGAACATATTTAGATGACATTATATTCAGAATTCTTAATGAGAGAAGTAATAAGTGATAATGAAGGACTAAAAGTTATAGTAAAGTAATATCAAATATAAGCTATGCAGATGGTACTCCTCTTATCATGGATAGTGAAGAGGCATTACAAAAACTCATTACAGTAACTGATTGGTGCAAAAAAGTGAAAAATATGGGTTAAAAGTTAATGCTGTGAAGACTAAAGTAATGATTGTTTCCAAACTGGAAATGAATCCTCAAATGAAAATTATGGTAGGCATTAACTGTGATGGTAGATGTAGGGAAGAAATCAAAACAAGAATAGGGCAAGCAAAAACTGTAATTAATAATCTAAAAGGCCTAATGAAAAGGGGGACATTAACTTCACTTTGAGGAAAAGGCTGCTGAATGGCTTTATATGGCAAGGACTAATGTATGGGTCAGAAGCATGGGCACTTTCAGCAGACACCAGAAAGAGGTTGGAGGCCTTTGAAATGTGATGTTATAGGCTAATGTTAAGAATAAGTTATACTGGCAGAAAACAGATGAAGAAGTACTAAGAGTAGTAAAAACTTCAAGAGAAATACTTGAAATGTACAAAAAAAGAAACAATTAGATACTTTGGTCATATAATTAGGGATAGGGAAATACTAACAGAAATATTAATGGGTAAAGGTGAGGGTAGGAGGGCCAAGGGAAGATAGAGACTGGGATGGATGTATGAAATTAAAAACTGGGCCCGAGAACGTTTAGAGTGGAGGACTGTGGTCGCCAACCTTCAGATATAAGGACAGCACTGATTGATTGAATGAATGTGAGGGGAAGTGTAAGTAGTGTATTGAAGTAGTACAGTAGGTGAGGGTGCTGGGGCCCTATACACCTGGAACAAGGTATGACCAGGTTCTCCAGTAAGTACCCGGTATGTTGTCCTATGTATCATTTTTATTGTTTATTATAGCAGTTTTTGTTTATTTTGGGTGTATGCAATGTACAGAATAGCAAAGGATTGGAACCCATTTCAATTTACTCATGTTAAACTTATCTCTAACATTGAAGTTTCTGAGAACGAAGTAGATTTTGTGAACATATCTATTGTGTTGCCAGAGGTATACCACATTAGTGCACAATTCATACATTAATATCAAATGTTGATGGGTATAATCTAACGTATGTATTACAGTACAATTCATAATAGGACAAAGTTTTTTCATTCACTGATAGAGTTTGCCCCACACTGTACTGTACTGTACTCAAGATTGTGAGGTCATTCTCCACTAAAGGGGGCACTCTACTGTTGTGGCAAAAACTTCATTTGTACCAGAATTTCCAATATTCCAGACTGCCCCATGCAATAATTAGTTCAGTAAAAAACATTCTACTGTATCTAAAGTATATAAAATGGATATGTAAACATTGTATTTTGTGTCAGATAGTTTATGTACTCTGGTGGTAAGCCTTGCCTCACCTACAGTCAACAAATGTTTAAAATAAAGGAAATGGTTTGCTCAGACTCAAAGTACAGTACTATAAAGTGGGTTGTTGTCACAGAGAGACTTGTTACATTATGTCTTCTATATAAGAAATCTTATTATGGTATTTCAGGAGTCAAACTTGAGAGTAAGGAATAGTTTTTCTTCAGAGGGTGGAGGAACATGGCAAGGTTCTGTATGAGTGTATGATATTAGTACAATACATTAAACAACTTTTTAAGACAAGCCTATGGCTTTTATCTCATTAGAAATTCTATAATATGTGCTTTATACTGTTTTACAACAACAGTTAATAATCATGCCATTACCCAAAACAAAAACTACCTCATTCAGTACAGTCACATAATTATACTCATCAACAAACAAGCAGACAGACAGACACAAACACACAGTGAGCATGTGATACAGCCACTAACCCTAAGTGATTCAACAATTGGGAAGCAGCTCTTCTATAAAGGTTTAATGTCACAACATATTTCAACAGTGCATAAAAGAGCATCTGTGGCAACAACAGGACAACAACCAGTGTTGTCACTAAAAGGCTTCTACTGTACATCTTGTGAGTGGTGGTGAGTGTAACACCACAAGCATGTGTTAATACTGTTAAATTATTATTATGACAATATCAACTGACTATAATAATCAGGTCATCAAATCTGTTACTTACTAATGTAACAAAGACATTCTTGTGTTTCACTTCAAGTTGTAATCACTTAGAAATATCTAAGTGTAACTGACAGCAAGTTTTAATCAGACTCACTCTAAGGGGTCTGACATAATCTTGCCTCAACAAAATATTAAATTACTTAAAGTTGCTCTTCAGTGCACAGTTCATAGTATTAAAGTCTAAAACTGGCTTACCTTTTAAGTACTTGAATCAACTATTAAATGACTAACATTAAGAGCTTGAGCCTAAACAAATCCTAGTGCAGTATTTTTACACTAACAGTGGCTTAACAAAGTCTTGTGCAAACATCAGTAGCACCTATAATAATAATCTAACCATGCACTAACTCACTCACTTTAATTCATTTCTGCAGCTGCAAATCTTGTTATCGTCAAGGCTACAGCACATTCTCTGCCGTGCACCGATCAAGCCAAACTTTGCCAGAGTACTGTACTGTACGCTGTTAATCCTGTGGAGACCATTACTAACACATAGCTGTGCTGTACCTACACTAAGAAAATGAGGCTGAGACCCACCTGTCCATGCTGGTGATGGTGGTGGTGGTGAGGGGTGTGAGAGGGAGGGTCGTGGCGGCTGGTGATGGCTAACCTCAGTGGACCGTCCTGTTGATACATACGCACACCTCCAAAGCTAGCGCCACACACAAACATCTATGAGGACCGTCCATCAGTTATATAAGTTACTTGCAAAAAGTTTCACTATAGGCTCTGCCTGGACAGTAATACATGGTCAATGAACTGACATACAGTATATGGGAAATGGCATCATCCAGTAAAGTTACAGATTTAAGAAATGACAAAGCTCAATCTAATTCATCACCATATAATTACATGAGAGCAAATAACTAATGGACGGTCCAAAAGACTTCATGCTGAAGGCACACAGCAATAACTATCTAGGATCAATGCAAATTGTCAAACAAATGCAGAAAAAAAATGACTTGATAAATGGACTCACAGTTGGGCACTATAAAAACTATTGTTTCATTGAGTAGTGAACTATAGTTGTTATTGGTACCCACAACATGATAATGACCCAAACAAAATTTGTTGCATCAGACACAAAGCTTTGTCAGGCAAGTTTGTTGTCACATTACCTTGCATAAGACGGCGCTTGTTGCTACACGTGAATGTATGATAGGACAGTAATTTGGGGTAAAAAAAGAAGCCAATGTTTAAAGTGATCCTCCCTTATTCAATGACACAGATGACTTATATCATTATTAAAACTATATCAACATTTTGTGACTTGTCAATTTATAACAAGTACAATATGAACAACTTGTGCCATGTACTGTACAGTATCTCTCAGTAAGGATTATTATAAATAATATAATGTGTTATTGTACAAGGTTTCTACCAATAATTATAACATTATATATAACATTCACTTGATTAAAAATTAATAATAACTATTTATAAATCTTGTTTTTAACTGTACCTTGTGTAATATATAATGAATATTTCAAGTGTTCAGCTCTTGTTTCATGAGAGAGTCAGCAACACACTTTAGACTGATCCTTACTAAAGACATGACAACATTTACACGTTCATAAGTCATCACTGTCTGAGAAGAGGAGTGTGATCCCTTTAATGCAGTGTACAACATTATGTTCCACCTCCCGGCCTCATGAGGTGCAGGACATAATATTAATAGGAAGCAAAGCTCACATTACTGTGTACTTAACAAACATCTTCCCTGGGTAATATTTAATTCAAATCATGATGCAACAAGGCAACACAAACAATGAGATAAAAGAACATAATTGACCCATCAGTGGGACGTGACACTGAGGACAAGTTATGCACAACATAATTCTACTCTTAAACTTTACCCATATAAACCAAATCAGCCCCAAGGCAAGTCAGCTTAAACTGTTTCTTCCAGACTTAACTGTATATGCTGGAATGAGTCCTAAGTACTGTACTGCTTTATGTAGAAAAACATAAACTTCTTGATGGTATGCATTTTGATTTAATACTCCATAAAATATTAATTTCAATCAGGTAAAACAAACACAATGAACATAAAACAGTTAAGAGGAAAACAGTTGTGTCATCCAAAACCTGAGTGTCAGTACCTGCGAGACGGGCGGCGCGGACGTGGCCGGGGGAGGTGGACTGAGGCCGTCATCTCTGCGGTCGGGTGGAGACACGTCGGGTAGGATAGACGAGCCATTACCCCCACTACTACCAGCGGCTGAGTGTGGAGGTGACACTGGACCTGGTGACACACTCCCACTGTGTGCCAGGTCAGCTGAAGACAACCATATGTGTTCATTAGATCAAATACTTAAAATAAAAACCAATTACAAACTTTAAATCATATTTCACTATTTCCACCAATGATAAAACTTACCCTCAGCTCTCTATACTGTATTAAGAACTCATGTAACTCTAAGACACACAAAAAATTTAACTCAAGTTTTAAGGCTCTTGTATAAATCAGTATGACGCTCTCTGTAACTGAAATAAATTGTACTCCAACAGAAGCAGAGCCGTACCTGTGGACCTGATGATGGCTACAGGTCTGGCCATGGGCGGAGGGGGTGGTGGAGGAAGCATTGAACCAGTTGTATAATAACCTCCCTGGATTTTTGTTGGACTGCGAGCAACACCAGGCGGAGATGCTTGCTGCAGGAAACAGTGCTCTTATTAATAAACCTACCCATTTATTTTTCTCTATAATATATCCAACATTTACAAACTTTCTTATCACAAAATATAAAAAATACTCAAACCACATTAACAACCTTCTGATAATCATAGTCGTGTAGGATGAGAGGTTGGCAGTGCTAGTGAAGGAATAAAGAAAGGGCATGTGAGTCATTGTTGTGAGAAAGGAGTGATAAAGTGAGGAATACATGAATATTAACAGGAAAATAATAATAAAAAGAATGGTGAATGAATGCAAAAAACAAAGAAGAACCGCCACATTGACAAAATTTAAAGAAAAAACAAGAAGCTGATTTGAAATACGGTATTTGCTGGCGTATAAGATGCATTTTTTCCCCCAAAATGTATCACAAATTACCTTGGGTCTAATGCGCCCGTATTACAATTGGGAGGCTGAGCGCCGTAGGCGGAGGTGCCTAGCTAGGGAGTCTGGGACGAGCAGTAGTCCACTAAGCACAAAAATTGTTACTAATAATATTACAAATAATAAAATACTGAAAAACAAGCCAAATTATCACAAACTTACGGCAAATTTGCCGAAGACGTAAATATTGGCTTACATCGACTTAACGGCAGAGGGAAGTTCACAACATCTCACTGTACCTCCTTCCCCAGCACACGTAACCCACACCAGATACATGTCTTACATTATTTAAGGACTGTATTACCTTTAAGAAACATTTGTTTATTATCAAATGATAAATGACCCTAGAAAGATTAAAGAAATGTTAACAGAAAGTTCAGCCGCCAGTCAGCTATTTGCAATGAGTTGATGACGCCAAAACAATAATGATGGTGTTACACCCTGGTGGCAGATTGCAGCAACACAAAACATCACAGCCAAAAATACAAGTTTCACATCCTGTCGGTAATTCTCTTGACCAAACTATAAACAAGGTAGAGTTGGGTTATTCCCTTAACATTTTTTATTGAAATTTCCTACAGAGTTTAAACCCATGGCTCAAAAGGAACGAAGACATTGCTATAACATTAAGTTTAAGCTCGATGTCGTAGGCTATGTGAAAGAACACGGTAATAGGGTAGCTGCACGACATTTTGGTCCACCACCAACCGAGAAAATGATAAGGACTTGGAGGAAACAAGAAGATCAGCCGAAAGCTGCTGGACGTAGCAAACACTGTCTCCGTAGGGGAATTGTAAAGTGGCCAGAACTAGAAGAAGAATTAAAAACATGGGTGTTAGACCAAAGAAGCTTGGGTATTTCAGTATCCACCAAAATTATTATTCACCATTCAAGACTGATAGCAATGAACAGAGATATTGATGATTTAGGAGGATCAACATGATGGTGCTCCAGATTTATGAGGAGAAATAACCTATGTATGAGGGCTACAACAAGAATAGCTTAAAAAATGCCAGCTGAATACAAAGATAAATTTATTGAGTTTCACAGGTATGTGATTAATGACAGAAAATAAATTAATTTTGAACTTTCACAGTTAGCAAATATGGACGAAATCCCTCTGACATTCGATGTGTCATCAAACAAGATGCTACAGGTGCTAAAACTGTGACTGTTAAAACATGTGGCCACGAGAAGACACACTACACAGTTGTTTTAGCATGCTGCGCTGATGGCACAAAACTGCCACCTCTTCTAATTTTGAAAAGAAAGACATTACCTAAAGAAAGAATACCCAATGGAGTTTATGTTCATGTCCATCCAAAAGGTTGGATGGATGAGGGAGGAGTGAAAGTGTGGATAAATAAAGTGTGGTCCAGGCGTCCTGGTGGGCTATTAAAGAAACCTGCCTTATTAGTTTGGGACCAGTTTCAGGCTCATAGGACTGAACTTGTTAAGAGGAAAGTTGGACAACTGAAGACTCAGTTAGCTGTAATTCCAGGAGGCCTAACCAGTCAGTTGCAGCCTTTAGATGTCTCTATCAATAAGCCACTTAAAGGATTCATGAAGGAGGAGTGGAACAAGTGGATGCAGGCTTCAGAATTTGAAGTGACACCGTCAGGAAGAAGGAAGAAGCCTACTATTACACAGGTGTTTGAGTGGGTCATGGAGTGCTGTAAAAGAAGAGATAGTTGTGAAATCATTTAAAAAATATGGCATTAGTAATGCCCTTGATGGTACTGAGGACGATTTATTGTTTGAAGAAAATACTGATGACCCAGATCCTATTGTAGAGAATTCCAGTGATGAAGAGAGTACGGTAATATGGATGCCAGCAGTGAGAATGAGTTTTCAGGCTTTGAGGATGTTGCTTTACCGAGTTCTGAAGATGATGATATTAAAGGTCTTGTGGATGATGATTAAATAAACCTTTATGATACCTTTTTTTATGTTTTTTGCTGCTGGCTATGTAGTCTATGATATTCACTGAAATACCAGTTTCTATTAGAATACATAAAAAAAATTTTCCTGTTGCTTGATGTGTACTAATATTCAATGAAATATTTGCTTTGTCTGCATGTACAGTATCTACAGTTTAAGAATTCATTCACATTTATTGTACTTTGCTGCTTGATATGTACCAGTTTTTACCGATACAGTATATTTGTTTTGTCTGCATGTACCAGTATTCACTGATACCAATGAATTTCTTTTTAGCTATGATTTCCTACTTGATTCCAGTATATATTGTATTTACCTACACAAAATCAAATGTTTTCCCATACAAAACCATTTTAAAATCACAAAATATCCTTGTAAAATAGGGGTGCGTCTTATGCGGTGGCGAGTCTTATACGCCGGCAAACACGGTAACTCGATAGAATGAGAAACCCAAATGAAAAAAAAAAAAAAATAGAAATGGCAATAAGAATGAAAGAAGATACATTTATTATAAGATGGAAATATTTCACAATAAAACTAGAGATAGGAGGAACACCAACTGAAGAATGTACTAATAGATGTGAAAGAGTCAAGAGTTAGTATCTAAGTACGGACACACAGAGGGAATTAAAAGTGGGAAAGTAAGGGAGATAAAACTAGTAAGAGAGAGAGAAAGAGATGGAAGAGAGGGAGATAAAACTGGTAAGTGAGAGAGAGAGATGGAAGAGAGGGAGATAAAACAAGTAAGAGAGAGAGAGAGATGGAAGAGAGGGAGATAAAACTAGTAAGTGAGAGAGAGAGATGGAAGAGAGGGAGACAAAACTAGTAAGAGAGAGAGAGAAAGAGATGGGAGAGGCTATAATCAAAGTTAAAAAGAACAAAAGCAACAAGAAGGGAAGGAATATTAAAGAGAAGAAGAAGAAGAAGACCTAATGGTTTAACAGAGGCGGATGAACCAAAGAATGACACAACAGAGGCGGATGAACCAAAGAATGACACAACAGAGGCGGATGAACCAAAGAATGACACAACAGAGGCGGATGAACCAAAGAATGACACAACAGAGGCGGATGAACCAAAGAATGACACAACAGGCATGATGAACGGATGAACCAAGAATGACACAACAGAGGCGGATGAACCAAAGAATGACACAACAGAGGCGGATGAACCAAAGAATGACACAACAGAGGCGGATGAACCAAAGAATGACACAACAGAGGCGGATGAACCAAAGAATGACACAACAGAGGCGGATGAACCAAAGAATGACACAACAGAGGCGGATGAACCAAAGAATGACACAACAGAGGCGGATGAACCAAAGAATGACACACCTATAGTAAGAATATAAGCACTGTACACTGTATAAAAAGGACAGTGATAAAAAAAGGAATGAAAAAAACAGAGAAAGAATTTTAAGGAACATCTGTAGATTAATCTCCCAAGCTTATTACACCTGTACATTAGCCTCCCAAGCTTATTACACCTAGATTAGCCTTCCAAGCTTATTACACCTGTAGATTAGCCTCCCAAGCTTATTTCATCCATGGATTAGCCTCCCAAGCTTATTACACCTGTAGATTAGCCTCCCAAGCTTATTTCAACTGTGGATTAGCTTCCCAAGCTTATTACACCTGTAGACTAGCCTCCCAAGCTTATTACACCTTTAGATTAGTCTCCCACGCTTATTACACCTTTAGATTAGTCTCCCAAGCTTATTACACCTGTAGATTAGCCTCCCAAGCTTATTACACCTTTAGATTAGTCTCCCAAGCTTATTACACCTTTACATTAGTCTCCCAAGCTTATTACACCTGTAGATTAACCTCCCAAGCTTATTACACCTGTAGATTAACCTCCCAAGCTTATTACACCTGTAGATTAGCCTCCCGAGCTTATTACATCTGTAGATTAGTCTCCCAAGCTTATTACACCTGTAGATTAACCTCCCAAGCTTATTACACCTGTAGATTAGCCTCCCGAGCTTATTACATCTGTAGATTAGTCTCCCAAGCTTATTACACCTGTAGATTAGTCTCCCAAGCTGTGTGTGTGACAAAACTTTACATTGAGGGATACAGTGACAAATATTTTTAAAGTGAGTGTATTTATAAAACACCCTTCAATTTAGGAAAAGAAAAAAAATAATTGCAAAGAGTCGATAGAAATGTGATATTAGACGTGCTGAAAACATAACAAGATAAATAGGAAACTGTCAAATGCTGTCATAGGTTTTATAAAGAGAGTGAGGGATACAACTTAGTGAGGTGGGGAAAAGGGAAACTGACTCCTAGTGAAAGTAAAGAAAGTACCAAGATTATGTAACGATGATGATAATAATATTTAGTCAGTAAAATCACCATAAAAATTTCCCATTCATTTGGTATGTATAGAGATAATGCAGGTATACAGTTCAACATGTGTATAGAAAATGCAGGTATACAGTTCAGAATGTATAGTACAGACAATACAGGTACAGTATACAGTTCACCATATGTATAGACAATGCAAGTACAATACACAGTTCAGCATGTATACAAACAATATGGTATACAGTTTAACAGGTACAGAGACACATGCAGGTATACTACAGCTATAGATGGCAGCAAGAGTGAGGAAGATAGGTACAGGTATAAGATTAACGGGAACATGTGGTAATAAATGAAAGGTGAGCCGGCTACTGTTTACAGATGACACTGAACTGATGATTGATTCAGAAGGTAAATTACAAAGGGTAGTGAAGGAGTTGGGAAGATTGTGTTGTGGGAGGAAGATAATAGTGAATGCAAGCTAAAAAGAGAGAGAGAGAGATATTGCTCTCAGTATCATATAAAAATAGCCATATCTTCACCCAACTTACCGTACTTGCATGAGCTGGATAGAAAATTGAACTCGCTCTTGACTTACCTGAGTATGTTGCGTGTTCTGGGCTTCCTGACAGACGAGCGTGACAAAATCAGAAAACGTGTCATGACCATTTTCGTGGTATTTAGTGGGTGAAGGTGGACCTGCCTCGTGATAATAACTTGGGGCTGCTGCCATCACTGTACTGCTTAATGACATGGGCGGCAACACTGGGGAACGACATCAACACATAAATAAATATACCGTAATGGCACTTTTATTAACGTCAAATATTTGCATCCTATATGTGTGTGTGTGTGTGTGTGTGTGTGTGTGTGTGTGTGAAGACTTGATTTTAGGCCAGAGATCCTTCCTTGATGCTTTACCTAACACACACACACACACACACACACACACACACACACACACACACACACACACACACACACACACACACACACACACACACACACATACACACATTGAAGTCCAAGGTTCCTTCACTCTCTGCATATACATTATTAATAGTATGGATATGTAATGTATATTATACCCCAAAAGTATCTGACCGCAGTATGAAACATTAACACACCGAGGATGATAGATAATGGTACATGGTCGTTCCTGTTCTGTATAGTTTAACATGAGTAATACAATGTTGTTTTTATTTTCTCGTAATTAATATGGTGTTGGGTTACCAGATGTAGTCAGGCATACCAACCCTCCTGGGACATGGAGCCAGGCATACCAACCCTCCTGGGACATGGAGCCAGGCATACCAACCCTCCTGGGACATGGAGCCAGGCATACCAACCCTCCTGGGACACACAGCCAGGCATACCAACCCTCCTGGGACACACAGCCAGGCATACCAACCCTCCTGGGACATGGGACACACAGCCAGGCATACCAACCCTCCTGGGACATGGAGCCAGGCATAGCAACCCTCCCGGGGCACAGAGCCAGGCATACCAACCCTCCCGGGGCACAGAGCCAGGCATACCAACCCTCCCGGGACACAGAGCCAGGCATACCAACCCTCCCGAGACATGAGTTGCAGGTAGCATTTGGGAAGTCATCAGACCCATCCAGAGAGATAATGTTTGGAGATGCTGTACAAACTCAAACACACTTGTCAGCCATACACACACAAAAAACCTACATAGTACACACACTACTGTATACAGACATAAATAACAATAAATACACAAATATAATTCATTTAAACACATAGAAAACATGAAAAAGAGCAGTTACTCACACACACACACACACATTGCAAGATTAATGTAACAAGTGAATTATTTCATTCATGGTTAAAGTTCAATTTTCCTTAAACAATATCAAAGGTTACTGTGTAAAAGTCTAAAATCGTGATATTATCCCAAGCATGAATGCACCGTCTATCTAGGTAAAACACGTCAGTTCCCACTCCTAAAGCGGGTTAACATGCAGGATCTTCTCTAACCACTTCACTCAGTGCATCTCTACAGGTAAAATGTCAAAATAACTCTCACCAACAACAGTATATATACATACACATAGGAAACATTTACCAATAGCATGTATGAGTTAGTTGAGCTACCACACAAGTGATGCAGTTGTCTCCAGTTTGTAATAAATACTCATGAATATTTCTCTTACAACATGAGAAGGGGCAGAGTGATCATAGGCAGTAAGACACAAGACCAGTACGGAAGAATACTAACAGCTGTAACATGACGTCCAGTATAAATGTGTGAGATAGACTACTGTGTGTTGTGGTTGTGATCTGAGACATGTTTTGTGGTTGTGATCAAAGACATGTGTTGTGGCTGTGATCTGAGACATGTGTTGTGGTTGTGATCAGAGACATGTTTTGTGGTTGTGATCTGAGACATGTGTTGTGGTTGTGATCTGAGACAAGTGTTTTGGTTATGATAAAAAAAAAAGTGTTGTAGGTAATATCAGAGAAATGTGTAAGTGTTGAACAAAGGAAGGTATGGTACAGGTGTTGCCAGATGTGTGGTGCCTTGCAGAACACCCTGGGAAGACTGGTCGACTACTTACAACAATACACTGAACTAATCATTTACAGTTCCTTCGACTGACTAGAATCATTATAGAGAGAGAGAGAGAGAGACTTGAAGGACTGAGATATACAAGATGATGACGGGCATCTAACCTTCTCGTGGGTGTGGCGAGACAACTGCACGTGTGTGTTGTTCGTGACTAGACAGAGACTCTACAGACGGCGCTCTAACTACAGGCTGTAGCGCACCTGATGTTGCTATTGTTACTTTACCACCACTGTGCACCAGATGAGGCGAGTGCACTGATGGGGGACCTGCCAAACAAAAAGAAAATATTTATGCTAAAAATATCAACATACTAAATAAACACTTGGGTGATACTTAAATGAACAGAATGAAGCAACACCATAAATCTCATTAATGCATAAACAATAAAATACACAAAACAAAAACAATGCCGCCACCAATTTCCTTCTTTATATATAATACTGTTAGACGTACAAACACCTTCATCTAACAACATACTCCAACCTAAGTCCTTAAGAAGATGCTGGTGAGACCTGTTATCTTTTCCCCCTCCTCCATGAGAATTACCCTGACCTGAGCAGCTCTAACACAGCACATGGCATCCCTACCCACTCTCAATAACTATCAGATCAAGGTTTACTGTTTCAACCTGCTGTAAATTTTCACCTCGTGTTAAGTTGGCTCTATCTATCTACATCATTTATCACACACACACACACCAATGTCTATGTACATGGTCCCATCTACACATTGCTTTACTCTACTCTTCAAATAACCTCTGTACCTTCCCTCATTAACCTGATCTCAATTAACACACAATTCTTCTCTCCATCCTAAACACTTATGCTGTGTTTCTCTCTGCCCACTGACCTCACCCTAGGAACCTAGTGATAATTAACACTCCAACCAAACTACTCCTATCGAATACATATATTTTATTGAGGTATCGACAGCCTACAATTCCTCATAGACTTTCACTATACGGTATACACAGTCAACAACACTCAAGTCTTTTGTTAAGATTTTCCCAGTGAACCTAAATATTAATCATATTTCTCATCTTTTTTCTTCTCCTCTGGGCAACCAAATATTTCTCTCTATCCTATATCTAAACTACCCAACTTATCCCGGTACAGTATTATATTCATATACTTTTAATGTTCTGTCCTCGATGGATAATCAGAGTGGGATTTACAAGTACTGTACTGAAGTAAATGCAAAATTGAATTACATGACACACTACTAAGACCACTGTATAATGATATAAGTATTCTCTCATTTTGCCAGAATATTTACCACCGTGCAGGACAAAGTCAATTATAAAGTTAATGAGTAGTAATGTTTAAAGTGACTTTGTGGACTCATAGTTTTATATAAATGCTCCATACAAGAAACACTGACCAGTTTTGTTAAGTATTAAAGTAAAGTTTAAGTAAATCTAGACTATGACTTAAGAATCCAGTACTGAGAATTATTGTTGATGTAAGTTATGTGAGGTACAACAGGCTTTTACCCACTATAACATGGCTGGCCTTTATAGTCATATTAAGTGGACTCAAACATATAGTACATCTTGTTTATATTATGTCGTTTATTGCAATAAGACAGCCAGAAATACCATGGTTCATAAATCTCTGATATACACAAGATGCCCCTCAAATTTAACCAGAGTTCATTATGATATGATTTTAAGATAATTAGTGAGTTATATATCTGAAGTATTATAGTACAACAGTCAGTGAGTACATAGGGTATTAAGTCTTATTCATAATTTTCCTGCGACTCATCACTGATCATGAAGCTTGTTCTAAATACTGAGGTCATTATCTCAAACATTTCAAGGTAAAATGTTTTTTTTTCTTAAACACATACAGTATTATACTGTACAAGGTGGTGGGAGAGATGAGACAAGTGTCATAAAACTGGATATGTATAGGCACATAAAGGCTTCATTTAGTGGCTAAACTTGCATCAAAATTACACTGAAATTCTTCACTAGCTGTGTTCTCTCAACCTCACTTGGGGGAAAATATTAACATATGAATCTTTGTGAACTCGGACCTTGAATGATACCAGAGGAAAACACTTAAGGGATGCTGGCAAGAGAGATGCAGGCAGTGGGAAGATGAGAGTCATGTTAAGATGGTTACTGAATGTTGGTACAAGTAAGAATGGAAGGTTGTATGTGAGAGAGACTCAAGAACATGGAAGCCACCAAACACAAATATGCTGGAGAGTTTAGTTCAATTATCACTCACGTACACAAACAAGGTCAGTGTTTGTACCGAGTTTATAGAACCTCAACAGGAAACAAAGAGGCCGAGAAAAATAATTGACGAAAAAATGGAGTTCAACTGAGAGAACAAATGAAGAATGGAGAGTTGTGGGACATAGAGGCAATATAAGGAGGAAGTATTGACACAGTGACACTTAAGTAAAGAAGAAGAACTAGATAAAAAGAGAGACAATAAGAGGCAGTAGACCACGTTAGGAAGAATATAATATAAGTGGGATGAAATTGTTGTGCATAATAGTGGAGGCAGACAGAGACAGTTAAAGAGTGTGTTGGTGGTACAGAAGGTGACAGTTAAGGGAGTGTGTTGGTGGTACAGAAGGTGACAGTTAAGGAGTGTGTTGGTGGTACAGAAGGTGACAGTTAAGGAGTGTGTTTGGTGGTACAGAAGGTGACAGTTAAGGAAGTGTGTTGGTGGTACAGAAGGTGACAGTTAAAGGGAGTGTGTTGGTGGTACAGAGAAGGTGACAGTTAAGAGGAGTGTGTTGGGTACAGAAGGTGACAGTTAAAGGGGAGTGTGTTGGAGGGGCTGGAAAATTTGACAGTTAAGGGGTGTGTTGGTGGTACAGAAGGTGACAGTTAAAGGAGTGTGTTGGTGGTACAGAAGGTGACAGTTAAGGGAGTGTGTTGGTGGTACAAGAGGTGAAGCTGATTAAGGAGTGTGTTGGAGAGTACAGAAGGTGACAGTTAAGAGTGTGTTGGAGGTACAGAAGGTGACAGTTAAGGGAGTGTGTTGGTGGTACAAGAAGGTGACAGTTAAGGGAGTGTGTTGGTGGTACAGAAGGTGACAGTTAAGGGAGTGTGTTGGTGGTACAGAGAGGTGACAGTTAAGGAGTGTGTTGGTGGTACAGAAGGTGACAGTTAGGGGAGTGTGGTGGTGGTACAGAAGGTGTGCAGTTAAGGAGTGTGTTTGGGTGGTACAGAAAGGTGACAGTTAAGAGTGTGTTGTGGTGGTGCAGAAGGTGACAGTTAAGGGTATGTTCATGGTGGTAGAGGTGACATTAGGAGTGTGGTGGAGGGTACAGAAGGTGACAGTTAAGGAGGTGTGTTGGTGGTACAGAAGGTGACAGTTAAGGGGGAGTGTGTTGGTGGTACAGAAGGTGACAATTTAGGAGTGTGGTGGTAGTACAGAAGGTGACAGTTAAGGAGTGTGTTAGTGGTACAGAAGGTGACAGTTAAGAGTGTGTTGTGGTGGTACAGAAGGTGACAGTTAAAGGTGGTGGTGGTACAGAAGAGGTGACCAGTTAAGGAGTGTGTTAATTGGTACAGAAGGTGACAGTTAAGGGAGTGTGTTGGTGGTACAGAAGGTGACAGTTAAGGAGTGTGTTGAGGTGGTACAGAGAGGTAACAGTTAAGGGGAGTGTGTTGGTGGTACAGAGGTGACAGTTAAGGGTGTGTTGGGTACAGAAGGTGACAGTTAAAGGGAGTGTGTTGGTGGTACAGAAGGTGACAGTTAAGGGAGTGTGTTGGAGGTACAGAAGGTGACAGTTAAGGAGTGTGTTGGCAGTGGTACAAGAAGGTGACAGTTAAGAGAGTGTGTTGGTGGTACAGAAGGTGACAGTTAAGAAGTGTGTTGGGGTACAGAAGGTGACAGTTAAGGGAGTGTTTGGTGGTACAGAGGGTGACAGTTCAAGGAGTGTGTTGGTGGTACAGAAGAAGGTGACAGTTAAGGGAGGTGTGTTGGTGGTACAGTGACAGTTAAGGAGTGTGTTGGTGCTTACAGAAGGTGACAGTTAAGGGGAGTGTTGGTGGTACAGAGGTGGCAGATTAAGGAGTGTGTTGGTGGTACCAGAGGTAAGTTAAGGGGAGTGTGTTGGTGGTACCAGAAGGTGACAGTTAAGGGAGTGTGTTAGTGCAAATTTTACAAAGAAGGTGAGCAGATTCAGAATATCATGGAGGTACAGAAGGTGACAGTTAGGGAGTGTGTGTTGGTGAGGTACAGAGGTGACAGTTAAAGGAGTGTGTTGGAGAGTACAGAGGTGACAGTTAAGGGGAGTGTGGTGTGGTGGTACAAGGAAGGTGACAGTTAAGGGAGTGTGTTGGTGGTACAGAAGGTGACAGTTAAGGAGTGTGTTGGTGGTACAGAGAGGTGACAGTTAAGGGGAGTGTGTTGGTGGTACAGAGGTGACAGTTAAGGAGTGTGTTGGTGGTACAGAAGGTGACATTCAAGGAGTGTGTTGGTGGTACAGAAGGTGACAGTTAAAAGGAGTGTGTTGGTGGTACAGAGGTGACAGTTAAGGTGTGTTGGGGTACAGAGGTGACAGTTAAGGAGTGTGTTGGTGGTACAGAAGGTGACAGTTAGGGAGTGTGTTGGGAGGTACAGAGGTGACAGTTAAGGGGTGTGTTGGTGGTACAGAAGGTGACAGTTAAGTGTGTTGGTGGTGAAGGTGACAGTTAAGGGGAGTGTGATTTGGAGAGTACAGAAGGTGACAGTTAAGGGGAGTGTGTTGGTGGTACAAGGTGACAGTTAAAGGAGTGTGTTGGAGGTACAGTGACAGTTAAGGAGGTGTGTTGGTGGTACAGAGGTGACAGTTAAAGGAATTGTGTTGGTGGGCACAGAGAACGACAGTTAGAGTGTGTTGGTGGTACAGAAGGTGACAGTTAAAGGTGTGTTGGTGGTACAGAAGGAAGGTGATGATGACGGATAGAATAATATTTTGAGGTGGTACAGAAGGTGACAGTTAAGGAGTGTGTTGGTGGTAGAAGGTGACAGTTAAGAGGAGTGTGTTGAGTGTGGTACAGAGGAAGGTGACGAGTTAAGGAGTGTGTTGAGTGGTACAGAAGGTGACAGTTAAAAGGAGTGTGTTGGTGGTACAGAAGGTGACAGTTAAGGGAGTGTGTTGGAGAGTGAAGGTGACAGTTAAGGAGGTGTGTTGGAGGTACAGAAGGGTGACAGTTAAGGGAGTGTGTTGGAGTACAGGGTGACAGTTAAGGAGTGTGTTGGTGGTACAAGAAGGTGACAGTTAAAGGAGTGTGTTGGTGGTACAGAAGGTG